CATTTTGACGGGTATCTGCAGAGATACATCATACAGATCTCTAAAATTAAAGAGTTGAAGGGGAAATAAATTTGGTATGTATTCATATTATTAAATCGATAATTGTCGGCATAAATTATAAAAACAATGGTTTTCGCAATTTTGATTCATAAAGTCCGAAATCCGTCAAACGTCAGGTCTATATGTAGTGCTAAGGAATTTAATTCATCTGTTTTTTATCAGAGCTATTAGAGTTCCTTTTAAAAAAGAACATTAATTTGCTTTGCGAATAATGGAGATGTCTAATATTTAAACACAATTTATTTTATATTCGTTATAAACACGAAAATTAATGAAACATTGCAATAATGTATTTTAACTTTAAGCAGATTTCTTTGTCTCCATGTCAGTAAAATCTCAGCAAGCGATTTCTTTCTCCATCTGATGAGCACGTGAATGATTTTATCGCTTATCTTAACGGTCTGCTATTTCATTCAGTTCAGTATATTAATTTGTTATACGTTAAAAAAACATACGAAACATGAAATTTCCTTAATATTTGAATGACTTTCTGGAAAAGCTTGTAAAGACAATTTTGTGTGGTTGATAGAGAAATACGCTGCTAGTGTTATAAGGTATTTCTCCCACCTTCTTGGCATGCTTTCGTGGTGTGGTGGTCTGCACGCTGTACGCGTATTCCAGAGGTCCGCGGTTCAATTACTGGCGAAGGCCGGTCTCAAGTCTTCTGCTTTCAAAAAATCCTAATATCTCTACAGTGTCACTTCATTTGAGCAAACACTGTCTGCTGCTCAAAAAGCCTAATTCATCAGCTGGGGTCAAACCTGGAAATTGTCGCTGGCTAGCCCCATGTTTATATTGCCAAACTAAAAGTGCATTCTTGATGCGAATGGCATGTCAGTATCTATTCTCTGCTTTTAGCGTGCTGTATAATAGTATCATGCAGTATGTTGGCAGAATATGTAAGCATTGTTGCTTAGAGGTCAAGCTCTGATAAGCCGAAGAGTGTATGTGGGAGCAGTCTTTTGAAATAGCAGTTTTCATCATGCCTGTTGTTTCTAATCTATAAACAAGGTGAATGTTTGTTTAAAGGTAAGTTTCCTGCTAATTTGAAGGTAAAGGCTGTGTGTGAGTGGAGCATTGCTAGTGATGCCATCTGTTTGGCGATAAAGCTATCAGACCAACAATGAGAGCAAGATTGCGCCTGTCGTTGGCAAGAGCATTGAGCACCATACAGGTGACAGTACGATTTCGCACAGTTTTGCCCCATGCCGCACAGACACTATACATTTACAAACATCTATGCCTTCTCCAGGATTCGAACTCGGATCCTTCTGTACTGCAGTAGGCTTCCCTAATTACTATACCATATGGGTAGCGGATACCTACGTTCGACATTTAGCACACTGCTACAAAATCTGCGTTCGACTTTTACCCTACTGCTACAAAATACCTCTAATACTAATAGTAAAGATGCTAAATAATTTCAGTGCTCTTAATCTAATTTAATAAATAAACCTTCTTGCTAGTCTTTTATCACAATACCAACTCAATATTGTTCATCTAAGACATTTCCTTACTGTTTAAATCCGCTTGCTCCAGAAATATGCGAATTAGAGAACAGTAAAATAAAAAAAGTAAAAGGTAAACAATACAGATGATTGAATTTAATTGGGAACTCAAGTTAGATATCCAAAGCTTTATTGTTTGAAGGGCCACCTGCTGCTCTCTGGATTTCATATGAGCTGTTGAAAGAAATTTTATAGCTGTTATGGAAGGTAAATTATCAAATCAAAAAGCAAAAGTACATTTTCAAGATATGAGCCCTTAATTTGGAGATGAGTGGTTTATAATTTTGATGTTTAGTAAAAATAAGTGTAAAATACTTTTCAAATTGTTAATTATTTGAGTTATTTGATTATTATATGTTCAGATTACTGGTTTAAATAAATTTATTTAAGCTTAAAGAAGAACAAATGTAACAACAAAAACACATAAATGCCACTAAAACACATTCATAGAATATAAACGCGATAAGATAATAGTGTTGCCAAAAAGTGCAAAGCAGATGCGACAACGGAATCACGGATTTAACATTATCGTAAATAAGTGTATTTGGAATTTATGTAATTGCTTACCTTTATATTAAGATGAAATAACTATTATTTATTTTTAATCCCCCAAACCCAAGCAAGATCTTAAGAAAAATTTAAGTTGACTTAGTCTAGGAACTTCTATCAAAAATTTTCAAAAAACTTAATTTAGTGCTTAAAATCATAAATCACCAAAAGCAAATAAAACAATTAGTAGTATTAAAAGCAGGTATGCATTTACATCTTTGGTTTACGTATATATACTTTAACCTATCAGCAAACTGCATAAAATCAAACTCATCTAAAATGCTTTTAATGAAAACCTTTTCTAGTTTTAAGTTTTTTAAGTTTTCTTTCTTCTGATCGAAATTTTAACTTTCCTTGCGTAGTTCATATGCAAACAAGTATACTAAATATTATTGTTTGACCTACACTCGCTACCAGATAATAGTGATACTAAAATCCCATGATAAAAAATGGAGTTTTTACGCAGTGTCTGTGGACAACCGTAGTAACTGCAACGAAAACCCCCCTAAACTAAGACCATCCCAAAGGATACAGATCACAATCAAACCTCGTATCTGTACCGTATTGATTCCTACCTGCATATAGCTATATCAGCAATAAACGGAACGCTGGGAAAGCGAAACAGTCCGTCCGTCTTCTTTTCCTTATATCTATCTATCTATCTATATATCTATATACATACATATATATATATATATTTCCCTCCATGTACCGATATATCGACTGCCCGCTCCCGTATAAGCGAGAGAGATTGTAGTATTGAAGAGATGGCAAAAGTGAAGCAAAAATGGAGCGGGGATATGAAATGAAATGGAGTTGAGGAAGTGAAGGATGGTAAAAGTGCCATTTCAATCAGAATGAGAGAAAGAAAAAAAAAGCGAAATATTTTTTAAAGGGGAATAGCAATTTCTTTGGAAAGAAAACTTTATTCTTTATACTGCAGGGCTACTTTATCGAACTATATTACACTATATTTTATTTTTGGAAGAAGGAAAGTACTGCTATAAAATGGTGACTAATAAGGTTATTAATATAAAAAAAGATATTAATGTTTTTCATGCAAAAACTGTCTGTAACAGTCTTGCATCAGCTTTCAAACATAGAAGAAAGGATTTACCTCGTTGCCAACTCTTGAAGCTCAATAACGAAAACATGGTGAATTTAAACTGTAATACCTGGAACAAAAGTATGATTTTAGCAACATTGCACAAAATCATAACAGAGACATGAGTGAAAATGAAAAAAAAAAAAAAAAAAAAAAAAACTGATGTGTAGTTCACGTGACTTCCTTGTACGGAATATTAAATTATACACAATTTTTCCTGCATTTCATTTAACCTTATTTCCTCGAATTTCATTAGACATATGTTTCTCATTCAGTTAATTCAGTTCTCCCTTCGCGGCAAGGCAAAAATACATAATAACTGAAAATATTTTCATTAAAAATTGAAAGATATAGAAAAACATAAAACACCAAATATAGTTAAAATAATTTTTAAACATTTTTGAAATTAAAATTACAGTTTCTACGCGAAAACAAGCAATTCGGTCAGCGGGGAAAAGGCAGATTTTTCGGTGCACAAAATTAAAAGTCTCCGTTTGGTCCTACTCGGCAAAAACACACAGAAGGAGCAGAAAGACTCAATTCAATATTCTGCTACGTTTCAAATGTAAACAAATATGGCTCCTGTAGTAAAAAAAATTAGGCTTAGCCGCACTTAAATAATTTTTAATTATTGATAATTCTACAACTATTGCATGCAGATTAACTTAAGGTATAAAAACCTTAACCGAAAGATAAGAACAACATCATTCAATCATTTTTAGAGCAAAGAAGCCGCAATTTACCAACATATAAGAATACAAAATACTGAGCGCAATGAGCCGAGTAACAGAGTGGGTATATATATATATATATGTGTTTATGTACTTTTTGTGCGGACGATTGCAACCAAAACGAGAGTTGCACAACAACATGATATAGCAGTCCTATATATAAAATTTCAATGTTCTGAAACTATTTGTTTTTGAGTTATGCGAGATACATACGTAAGTACAGACGCCTCGAAAATATCTCTATTAAATATTAAACCAGGTCTATAATTCATTTTGGGAAAAAGAGTCCTTTATTCTGTCCTTACGTACGGATATCATGTAAAAACATCGTTAAATTGCATTCGATAGCGGTCAAAATGGTTATTTTCGTTGAAATATGTTACCCGGAATGTTTCGTGATTACAATATTTCCTTTACATCGTGCAAGGAAATAAAAAGGTTTTTTTCCAAAGATTCCTCCTGCAGTTGTAACTTAAAAAATTGTATCATTTAATTGCTTATTGGAAACAAAAAATGCAGTAAATTATCTTTGGAAAATACATCTTATTCTAAGCCAAAATTGATTTCAAGTCCTTAAATGGAATCGATGAAATGGCAGTTACACAACAACGCATAAAAGAAATGACCTTTAACTCCTTGCAAGTTTAATTCATTAAGATTTCCTGACTGATTCAAGCATAAATTATTAACTAAAAGTCTTCTTCAGAAGCAATATGGAAATTCTGAACATTGTTTCTGTATTCTATATATAAATATGTGTTTAATGGGTTGATTCCAGTTCGACGTTTCCAGTTAATAAAATCATATTTTATAGGGTCCCTATAAAAAGACTTTTAAACGCAATCGTCCTTTCTTTTTTCTTTTCCAATTGTACACCTTGCACAAGCTATGTTAACAATTTTAATAATGTTTAGAATTTTTTAACAATACAAGCAAATGAGTTTATTATTCTTCTTTGTAATTAGTTAATTACTTAAATTACTATTTTGTTTAAAGAAGCTTTTCTTGCCAACAAAGCAAATACTCTCACGTGCGTTTTTCTTTTAGAAAACAGCCATCTATTAGAAAGAAATTTTACTGTTAGATTTCGATGTCTCCTCGACAATACTTCCGGTTTCTTGGTAAGTTTATTAAAAACTATTTTTCTGTTTTATCGCTTTGGAATTATAAGTACGTAATGTAATTATGATTTGATTTTAGGGCTTAAGTACGTAATATTATTGTGATTTGATTATAGTGGTTAAGTATACAATGCTATTATGATTTGATTGTAATGGTTAAGTCCGCAATGTAATTTTGATTTGATTCTAGTAGTTTACGTAATGTATTAATGGTTTGATTCTAGTGATTAAGTATGCAATGAAATTATGATTTGATTCTAACGTTAAGTTGGCAATGTAATTATGATTTTACTCTAGTAGTTTACGTAATGTAATAATGATTTGAGTCTAGTGATTAAGTACATAATGTAATTATGATTTGATTCTAGTGCTTAAGTACGTAATGTTATTGTGATTTGTTTCTAGTGGTTAAGTACGTAATGTATTAGTGGTTTGATTCTAGTGCTTAGTTATGCAACGAAATTATGATTTGATTCTAGTGGTACTCTAACTTTTAGAAAGATCTTTGCAATATATAAACTCGGTACCGCTAAAGAAATAAACTTACTTCTTGAAAAAAGTCCCTTTATTGCTACCTTACTATATTTTTATTAGGTTATTTCAAGTATATCATCATGTGTCGTATTATTAAGACACTTTTGCACTTTTATTTACTTTTCTGACATTTTTACATTTTACTTGAAATTGTTTTTACTTTAAGCAGAAACTTGGTTTTTAAAATAAGCTGCTTTAAAAATTATTGTAATTATTAACGAAAATTTACCTGTGATTTCTTATAGTAGCACAGTTTTAAATTTTAGACTCATTATCTTAAAGATTCAAGGAATTTTGCACTGTATGTTAATGCTCAATGAATCGAAATGTTGAAATGAATTCTCTTGCATAATACTTTGCTGTAATTTTTTTATAGTTAATTTATATCCTTTTTAGAAATTTTTTAATGAAATATCCCCCTCCCGAATGTACCAAAAGGGAATAGCTTTTACCTTCGGTTCTTACGTATTAGAGCAACCACCATAGTCCCCAGATTTTTAGAATGATTCACTATGACAACTATGTACAAGCAACGTTGCCATTTTCATATGTTTTTTGTTATATTCCAAGTTCCAATGGTTTTCGGAGAGAAAGTGAATTTTTTTTCCTTAAAATTAATTTCAAAATATGCATTTGTGAGATTTGCCTGCGATGGAAGAAACTGTGACTTTGAATCTGTTCTTAAAACGATGGCTGCAAACTTCCACCAAAAAGGAAGAAATAAAATCCTACCAGTAAAGCAAGTTTATTGATTTAATAGCAATAAATAATTTTTTGCTATTAAATTTCATAATCATTTTTCTTCTGTAAAAAATCGCCAAACTGCGCCAATGAGGTTGTGGTAATGTATAAGTACTCTGTTTTCACGTACAAATGTTATGAAAGAAAAGGAAAAGGATGTATTTATGACATTTTAAAATCGCAACTGTTGTCTGTAACTATTTTTGAAATTAATCGACGTCATCCGATGTTTGAAATTCGGTAAGAGAATAAATATAAGTAAGAGATGATTCGGTATTTGTCTGTCACAGCGATCTTTGAGTTAGAAACAGCTAAAATAGCGATAAAGTGATAAATGTTGTAAGCTTTTACTTATCCTTCATGTTTCTTCTTTATGGGTGAATTCAAAATCTTTTTTACAGCTGGATTCAAATATGTTCACTTTCATTTCTCTCATAATAACTTGCACATGAACTTTAGGTTGTTCACGTATCTTTATGCTTGTAAAGTGAGCATTAAAAATCGTGCGTTTCTTCTGTCACTAGATGAAACAGAAGCAAAATTGTTTTTGAATAAAGAGTTGATTGTATTTTAAGTGTGAATTCTGCAATGTAGAATGGAATGTAGTACGGATGTAGCCAATTAGTGACATAGAATTTCATTCCGATAGCGCTTTGCGCATCATTTATTCAGTATTTATATTGAAAGGATATTTTAAATTAAAGTAAGCTGACAGTTTCTAGGGGCTAGAGACATATCAGTGAATTAATGCAACCGAAAATCAACGGAATCAGGATTCTGCAACCATTTGATGAACTAATTATCTTTGCGCATAACAGTAAAAACCTTTTGCAGGGTTTTTTCTTAACCAGAAAAAGATTGTACTATTGGACCTTTCCTAAAAAGGAAATCATCTACTTTGTACCAACATTCAGTTGTATTAGTATTTTGAAATTCAGTACATGGATGGTATAATGGTAAATGACTAATTGCTCCAAAATACAAATGTTTGATTTACAAGAATAACAAAAATATTGTAGAGCAATAAGCATTACCATCGACAGTTTCACATTTACTTGGCTTCTACTTAGGCGAGCTCATGCGACGCAAGATATACAGAAATACTACGAAGATACTTGATCCCACATTTTGATGTTGCATTAAATTACAAACCATAGACTGCAGATAAACAAACAAATTAAATATAAGTTTTCATTTAAGTTTGTTTCTTTTTAATTGTTATTGTCTGCATCTGAAATTTTATTGGTTACTTTCATATTAAAGTGGCCCCAGCTTATGCCTTGAAATTTGGCTGCATTTAAAATTAATTTGGCGAAAATTAGAAAAAGCTACAGCAACCTTTGAAACTGAAACTTTGATGTGTACAGGTGAGTAATAGAGTTAGTTTACCTTTCTGGAGTTTACAGTTCGGCAGTTTCTACTCTTAGAATAAAATGCTTTCTCTTCTCTTGCATATTGCTGCCACTTGAATTCTGTTAAGTAGGAATTCAAGTGTTGCTGAGTCTTTCTTTTTGCCATTTAACCGCTTCAGTATCATACTTGTACATCTCTACACGGACGGCTGAAAACGAGGAAAGGCACAGGTATGGAACAGGTTTTCGCATGGAAAATGACCCAGGCACCTATAAATGGACAGAAAGCTTAGAAGCAATAGCTCAGTATTCTAAGCGAAGCTGATAGCTCTCAGCACAGCGATTATGTTTGCCTTTGGACTTCAAAATCAGAGAACTGTCATTTGCGGTGACCCTTCATCAGGTTTGGAGGCAATTGCACATCAAAACAGTAGGAGCTCTCAAGTCAACAAAATACTATACCAGTCATAGTGCTTATTTTTAACTGATTCTGGTGTGTAAAGGAATCATAGGGAATGAGGCCCTTGACACGCTATCAAGAACAAACTGCCAAGATTCCTAGGTCGTTTTTTTTAAATAAGACACCTTTCACAAACTAATTTGACACTGACAAAAGAGATAGAATGACGCATAGGTAGATAGGCGAATATTTCATCTTCTTCCCAAAATAAATGCAGAACTCAAATCACATTGATTTGTAACCTCACCCGGCTACTAACGGGATACGGATCCTACCTGGCCTGTCTCCACAGATTTAGATTCGAGATTAAACACTCTGTGACTGTGGAGAAGAAGGTGACGTGGGTAACTACCATTTTCAATGTCCCAATACTAGCTCTTGGCATCTTAAGAATCCAGTGGACTCCGCGTGGACAATTAACACACTCAAAAACAGGGCTGTATTGCAAGTCAATGAAATATAAAATTAATGTGTTTGGATAAATACCTCAGACTGGGGTCAGCTCTATATCTTAATCACGATTTTTGCATTTACCTTGCTCTAATTAACAAATCTGTGCAAAGAAGTCTTGTATAGATGAATGATAGTAGGAACCAAAATTTCTAACTAAAACTAAGTACTAGAATTTCGTAACAAAACAGCTGAAAATGCAACCACAAAGTTATTTAGTTAACACATATTAATGTACCAGTAGTCTAACAAAAATAGATCTTACTTGCCACTGCAAACTACTTTCCCTTTTGGAATCAAAAGGAAATGTAGTTTGGTCAGCAGAAAATCTCTGCTGGGATGGAGCAATTCCGTTTGGTTTATCATCATGGCCAAAAGCCATCTCAGCGGCGAACAATAACAGCAATCCCCATCCAAAGGTTAACCAAAACTCAGAGGCATAGTTACGATGGGGCAAAAGGGAACATCTGTCCTCGGGCGCAGCATCCAGGGGGCGCCAAATTGATGTTACAAAAATTTAGAATGAAATGTTTTCCATTCTTGGCATACAAAAGGGGGCGCAAAATCTTCACTTGTCCCCGGGCGCTGAAACCCTAGCTAAGGCTCTGCCAAAACTTAATCTAAAATGTCAAATACAGAAAGAATGTAAATAATATTCGGTGAAAGAAGCACTGGGGAAAATATTTGATTTTATTATTTAAATCCATTTCTAAAAATATGCTAATTCCGAACTTAATAACTGTTAGAAAAGTTTTATGTGAAATCTTAACTCAAACATTATGACTAAAATAATATCTTCTGAGAAGCACGAGTATTTTAAGCCTTTTGCAAGCAAGCTGTAAATTTAGAGTCGATTAAATATTCGTTATATAACTATTTTTTTCTCTTTGCAGAGGCTGGACATCAGGGGTCGAATAAAAGTGCTGCACGGTCAAAATCACAAAACGGAAGAGCCTCCCTTGGCCTTGTTTGCCGTATGCACGCCTTTCGGCCCACCATCCCTCCTCGAAATGCCGCACAAGGACACCATGTTCAAAAGCAAACACAAACTCGATCTCTCTCTAGTCTCTCTTGACCAAAGGTGAGTAAGAAAACTTATTCTGTACCAATCACGTAATATATGGTATTACGTTCCTGAAAGTTATTAGTTGGACACATTATAAATTAAATGCATTTTAATTTAGATAAATTTGTGCATAATCAAAAAAGTAAAATTACATTTCAGTTTTAAAAAATTACGTCTATTGATTTTAAGTCATTATTTATTAGTTATACGTTTATTAAATTCAAAAACTAAGAAAGTTAATACTTTGCTATGGGAACCGGCTCCGCTCGAGGGTGCACGGAACAATTCGGTTCGTTAATCAATAACTGATTGATTAATTTTTAAAGGTACGGAATTTATTTGGAGAAGAGTATTTTTATATATTGGGTTGTTCGAAATGTAATTTCGTTTTTTCCCAACAGAGGGCTTAATCGTATTCATAATGTATTTTGACAGCTGATAGAGCAAGGCTTGTTTTGAAAACATTCGATTGATTCTACGCAGTAGTTTTTTGGCTGGTGCCCTTTCAAATATGGAAAGTTAAAAGCAGCATTTTCAGAGATTAAATTTATCGCATTCGAGCGTTCATGGTCATTTGAAAGGCCTAGGTTTAAACTCAAAGCTCGACGTATGGGTTCCTTCTGTTCCTAAACTCTCCGTCTTCAAGATCAAAATTGCCGGATCGAAATTTTGTAAACCAGTTTTGATGTTCTGTCAATATATTTTCGCTGTACACATCGAATATTTCGTTTCTTGCTTAAACAGCATTTTGACCTTATAAGGTTTCTCCCGCCTTATGCCTTCGTGGTATAGTGGTCAGTACACTCGGCGCGTATTCGACTGTTCCGTGGTTCGAGTTCCGGCGAGGGCATTGCTCATTTTTCCTCTCTTCTGCTTCGGAAAAACCCTAATGTCTCTACAGTGACACTCGAACTATAAAAGATAGTGGATGATGATTCTCCACCACTAGGACTTGGCTATTGGGTCCCCTAATCCCCAGTCGCGCTTTAAAAAGGGAGCATATAAGGCATTTTTCCCGCCTCCTTAGCATTCCTTCGTGGTGTAACGGTCAGCACGCTCGGTGCGTATTCGAGAGGTCCGAGATTCCCGGCGAGGGCTTTGCTCACTTTCGTCTTCTGCTTCCAAAAAATTTGATATCTCTACAACCTTTCCGATAGTAAAAAAGTAAAATGTGTCGAAAATGCTGCTTTTCACTTTCCATATTTGAAGAGGCCCGACCAAAAATTACTGCGTAGAATCAGTCGAACCTTGCCACAAACCTTGCTATATCAGCTGTCAAAATATGTAATGACTACGCGACTTAAGTGTGAAGCTCTCTGTGAAAAATACAATTATGCCCTCTGTGGGGAAGAAACGAAATTACTTCCTGAACAACCCAATATTAAGTAAAAATTAATAATCTTCTTTGAGATGTTAAAAAACCCTGAGGCAAATAAGTATAAAAAATTGCTCCCCAAATAATATAACAAGCAGTAGACTTCTCGATACTTTTATAGTGTTTTCTGTATTTTAGGTTAATTTTTACGTTTTGGAAAATATTACTTGGAAAATGGCCAAACTAAGTAAACTACTGCTTAATAGAAATAAGCAATTTGTGAAATGTGCATACTATAAAAATGAAATACGAAACGAAATTTGTAAATTCAGAAAATAAAAGCATCCTGTTCCTTAACTATATTTTTTTTTATTTGTATAAAAGCAAAATTCCTTTTATTCACTGGAATGTGTCACGTTTCTGCATACTGTTACAAACTTTCTGGGGTTTTTTTTTTCTGCTGCATAATATGACTCCAATTAGTTGCCCTACTGTCTCTATGACTTTTCCGAGGTTTAAAACAAATATAAACAAGTGTTTGCGAAAACGTCATCCCCAAATATTCCCTTCATATGTTATCTCTTAGTAATTATGATATTCCAAAAAAAGACGCATAAATTTCTTATCATGTCATTTGCCTTAGGCAAATGATTAAAAAAACCAAATTTACCAATCTTTAACTTCCAAATGATATTATGTTTTTATTGTGTATTTACCAGTTAATCTTCTTGGAGCTCACAATAAAAAAAGTCTACCTTTCATTTGCATTCCACGTAGCTTTTGTCAATAGTTTATACAATTTATTACAAAAGCTATTATTGGGCTCTTTCAATCTTTAATCAGCCGTGCTAACTCATACACTGAGTCATAACATATACGTAAGAGATATTTCTTGTTTTTCTGAAATCAGTTGCTGATCAAATTGAAAGGTATTGACAAAATTACGAACTATTAAAAGCTATAATTTTGTGGTCACAAAATTCAGAATATTTTGAAATCTTTAAGCTGATTTTTTTAATCAATAAGTTCTGATATTTACCGCATATATTTCTAATTAAACTTATAAGTAATTCTTGGTGCGCAATTTACATATCAAAATACTGTCTAAAATTTTCCCAGCTTTGGGGAAGGAAACCTCTCACATGTCACAAATTGTATGCATTTATACATTCACTTTTTAATTTTTTTCCAGGGCAAAGCAAGTGTTGGGATATTCCGACTCTGAACTTGCCGACAAGGGATGTTACGACCTAGTCCATTATGACGATCTTGCCTACGTAGCCAGCGCTCACCAGGAACGTAAGTCTGAATTAAAAATTATTTAAGACTGCAACACACTGCCAAACCTATAAACAGAATACATCGTTTAAATATATTTTTAACTATTGTTTAATGCTAAAATGTAGTAAATTTCCTCAGAAAACACGTAGCTTTTTAAGTTTAGGCAGGGCGTAAAGACTTTACAACTAAAGTGACAGATTTGACAACATTCGGCAAGAAGTAACTGAATTGACCATGGAAGAGAAATTTGCAGCAGGAAGTATGGCATGACAGTTCGATTCGTGCTGTAAGGGGATAAAGGAATGCTTCCTACAAGGTGTTTCAGCAAATCAGTTGCAAATCTTCAGGAAAGATAGAATACACCTAGACGATGGAAAATAACATAACAATTCATAGTCGGAAACGCTTTCCTAGTGCGGTAGTGACAACACAAAACACAAGAAAAGAAGAACACGAATAGAGTGAGGTGCAATACATGTAAGAAGAAGGACAAAACCGATCGCATCAAAAGGTACTGGAAATACGATAGCTACCAATTGAAGCCTAGATGAGGGGGTCACATCCAGCGTATGGAATGTCTGATATTCTGCAAAATACCGATCCCAGGACTTCCCCAGCAGCTGCCACGATGCGTTCGACAATTTTCTAAGCACTGTTTAAGGGAGGTTCGTACACCAATGTCATGACGTACCCACAGAAGAAATATTCAATGCAAGTGAGGTCTGGCGATCTTGCTGGACCATCCCTGCCGATCCAATGTTGAGGGTTCATTCAGGTGCAGATGCACCTGAATGAACCCTCAACATTGGATCGGACAAATCTTTCTTGAAGATTTGCAACTGATTTGCTGAAACACCTTGTAGGAAGCATTCCTTTATCCCCTTACAGCACGAATCGAACTGTCATGTCATACTTCCTACTGCAAATTTCTCTTCCATGGTCAATTCAGTTACTTCTTGCCAAATGTTGTCGAATCTGTCACTTTAGTTGTCAAGTCTTTACCGTTAATGTATGCTAAAATTTAGCATTCCCAACATTTAGCTGTACTAAACATAATAAACATGATTTCTCACCCTGCTCGTGTTCTTCCTTTCTTGTGTTTTGTGTTATCATTACCCGTGTCAGAAAAGCGTTTCCGACCATTGAATTTCCACGTGATTTTCCATTGTCTAGGTTACTTTATTTTTGCTGAAAGTTTGTAACTGATTTGCTGAAACACCCTGTATAGCGTCCCCATACGCACAGAAACTGACATACCTTCCTGAAACAAATGAACTAACCATGCTGAAGCATACCAAAGGTCTACTATCCATGGGAGGACAGCACGAGGTTTCCCGTGTAAAATAGTACATCCAAACCTTTCATCAAAACCCAGATTTTAGAATTTTCTGTTAAGTGTCATTTGTTTTTGAAATATTGTATCCACTATAAACAATTGCATATGTATTAATTATTGCATATGCCTTATTATGGTTAAATTATTGCATATTTATGGCAGCCTCAACGATTGGAAACACTTTTTCTGGTAATTTTAGCTTACAGTAAATGAGCTATGTTGAGTGAAGTTAAGAATCATAGCGAGATTTCGAGTCCTTCTAATCTAAATATTTCTTGTCTGCTTGATGATTATTGAATAATTAACTGTTCCTATTTCTTTCTGAAGAATTTTAGCAACATTTTTTTATAATAATGGAACTATAAAAAAGTCTTTTTTAGTGAACATCTCTAGCATATTTGGCAATTTTAATTCAAACTCTCTTTTGTTGCTCTCTTAGAATAATCGTGAAAGAACTAACAATACTTTGATCTTTTGCTGTTGTTTTCATTCCGCTATAAAACATGTACTTACATTTTATTATAATTTGTATATACTCTGGTAACTCAAGAGATTACTCATATCTAATGAATACGCTCCAAAAATAAGTTTTGTAATAAGACAGTTGCATATCATTAAACATCCTAAAGAGTGTACCTGGAGCTACATACGAAAAAATTTCTTTCTCACGCAGAAATGGAAAAGAAAGAAAAGAATCTAAATCATTTTTGCCATGGTAGAATAATTTCATAAACTAACTTAATTCCCTTCAGTGTTGACATGTAAGAAATTTGTGTGACGCCTGGCCCTTAACACGTTGATTGCTGCTCGGATGACGACAAAAATTCTGATTAAGATCCGTATACGGTTGATGCTTATTTGAGCCCTTACAAGGTAAATTAGATATTTGAAAAAAATGATTGTTGAATGGTGAAAGGAAGAAACGAAAATTATTATTGCCGACAGCTAAATTTATTCCATTCTCTAAACTGAATTGTGCTTTCTTCGGTATAAGTTTTTCTTTTCTTCCTAAATAGCCTATTCTTGTTAAATATGATTAGTGGTATGTACATCATATTTATTATCACTGCATTTATCAATATCCGATTCAGAATCTGACGATATAATTCTACTTATTCTTTCTGAAAAATCTTGGTTGTTTCTCATAGATACTATTAGAGATTTTGTAACTCGTATGCTATGTGATTCATTTAAAAATAACGCTTTCATTTTTCTTTTAGACATTGCAAAAACTAGGGAACAATTTAAAAAAAAATTAACCATTTGTGACTGCAGAAAAAATATTTGGAAAAGAAGAAATCATTTTCGAATCTCATATGCTTTCTTAGATACTTCGCTGTTCAGGAAAGATTTTCAGCTGAATGAAAACAGTATACAAAAACTTTTAATTTTTAAATATTTGTGGTTATTTCTCAGAAGTAATAAAATCAAATGAAAGTCACCACAAATCAAAGTCATGAGTTATTAAAGCTAAGCAAACGCTATGATCTTATTCTGGAAAATTTTCCGTTTAGATTGACAGCGCAAAATGTGCTATTATTATCTGGAATAGTAGAGGCTGTAAGATAAAACGTAAGATTTAATTCCGAGTTCAGTTAACTTCCTGAAGTTTGAAATTTTCTTTGCCCTTTTATATTTTGTTATTTTCGCAGACCATAGAGATCATCGATCTCAAAGAGATTAGAGTTAAGATAATATAAAAGAGCACGCAATTAAGATACGGCAGCGACTGATCTAATTTAATGAGGTTTATATTTGCATGATTACATAAGTGGCTTTTCCCAGTTGTTTTTGTGAGGAATTAAGAAAGATCCAATGAAAATTTGCCGAAAATTTTTGCGAGATTGAACAGGTTAGCATTAGAATAAAATTATGTTAACTTTAGCTAATTATCTGAAGAAAAACAATAATCTTGTTTAAAATTATTTCTTGTTACTAAGTTTATACGTAAGTATTTGTTTCCCTCCGAATAGCATTCCGAAACGTATAATTCTAGATGTTCTAAACTCTTATAATCAAAAACAATTGGCGCATAGTATAGCAGCGCTCTTGACCTGATGAAAATTTTCTTGCAAACTAATGTGGTAGATAACGTGTTAATCTTACTCTGATATGAGCTACCTAACCTTCGGTTCGGTTATTTCTGCCGAGCCATAGTCATAAGAAGAGAATTTACATAAAATAATTAAATAACTGCGCATGTCAATAAAATAAAACTCAAACCAAAACATGTATGCTACTTGGAGGGAAACAAATACTTACGTACAAACTTAGTAACAAGAAATAATTTTAAACAAGATTATTGTTTTCTTCAGATAATAGAGCTTCAGATATAATTAACAGAATCTACTAATGCCCCTTTCTCTCGACTTTTCGGCTCATTGATCCTTCTTAAGTCCCCACACAACTGGGAAACCATTAAATCATAAATAAACCCATTAATAGAGCAGTCGCTGCCGATCGAATTGCGTGCTTTTATATATTTAACTCTTCTCTTTGAGATAGATGATCTCTATGGTCTGCGAAAATAACAAAATATAAAAGGGCAAAGAAAATTTCTAACTTCAGAAAGTTAACTGAACTCGGAATTGAATCTTACGTCTTATCTTACAGCCTCTACTATTCCAGATAATAATAGCACATTTTGCGCTGTCAGTCTAAACGTAAAATTTTCCAGAGTAAGATCATAGCGTTTGCTTCGCTTTAATAACTCGTGACTTTGATTTGTGGTAACTTTCATTTGATTTTATTACTTCTCAGAAATAACCACAAATATCTAAAAATTAAAAATTTTTGTATACTATTTTCTTTACCAAATAGGCGAACACTTTCAACAAATGTAAAAACATAGTACTTACAAAGCAAATATTATTACATACATATTGTTGCATGCGGACGTGTTTGTAATAGACTCTGGAACTTTCCGCAGAAAGAATCTTACAGGTGTTCACAGTATCGCAGAGTGCTATCAGTATTTACACTTCAAACTACTAAGAATGTTAAACAGAATACAATGAAAAGCGCAACTAAAAGGCGAAGCTTTCAATACCACGAAATCACTCGGAACTAACAACTCACAACAACAACCGAGTGCAGATGCTCTCTCCGGCCTTCTATAAATTTCATCCGACCGCCGAGATATTTCTAGTACTTTCTGCTGCTCCAAGGAAGGAATAGGAGGGATGAATACAGTTACAATTACATATGAAATCAATTACAACTATTTAATTACAATACCTGTTACTGTGATACAGGAACCGTTACAAAATATCGTAAAATGGTCGCCAAGTTTGGCGACTTTTGGTGATTTGTCGTCAAATTTGGAGACACAATTAGTCGCCAAAATCGTTGCCAGCTTGGCAATATCTTGCCAAATTAGCGAGATATATAACGACTTGCCCCTGTGGTTTTACTTTTCCGGCAGAGCATCCTCCTTCTAGATTTTCATATTATATTATACGTATAAAAATAATACAATTTCACTAAAATTATCCGTATATGTACAAAATTCGTAACAATATGTATCGATTTGCTGCTGACAATATTGTGATAAATTATGAAGCCAAACCACAAATAAAAACAACAGGCCGAACTAAACAAGCTAAGGGATTGATCTAAATCAGAGTTTCTTAAACTGTGGGTCTCGGAACCTGCTGCATGGGATCGCCAAAAATTTTAGCAGTTTTGATATTTCTTTAACTTATTATGTTTTTTCAAGTACCAAATTTGTGCACAGTGGTTGAAGATAGTAAAGACAAGAAAGACAAAAAAACGAAACGTTCGACGCATTCTTTTTCAATATAACGTTCATTTTACTTGCTTTGCACGTGACGCTGTCATTTTGCTGTGGCTTATTAAATTTTCACATTCTCGAGGCCCTTAGAAAGAAAGGAAGGTCCTAAAATGCAATATATTACAGTCGTGAAAAAATTGACAGTTTCACTCACGCATGTATCGGATTCGCGCAATGCTTATGGAGAGATTTGCGCAATGCTTAACAAAATTTTCTTAAATATTATGGGGTCCTGGGGTCGCGAAAAAAAATCTCAGTGATAAAAAGGGGTCGCGACTGAAAAACGTTTAAGAAGCTCTGATCTAAATGATTCTCTTATCTTTTTTTAATTAAATTTTGTGATAATAAATTTATTTCTACCGACATAAAGAGGATTTGGAATTCTTCCTCATTCCGTAATCATTCATGAAATCTAAATTTACATTTTACTGCATTTTCGTTTATTAAGATTCGCAATGATTGTGTACTCATTTATTACAGTTCCATACAAATATGAAACATAAAGTTAATGAAAACCTTCTTTTTGTTCAAATTTGTGACTTGTTTTGTTGCGACAAAATATATTCAACAAAATAACATTGAGTTCAGAAAGCTAAAATTCGATAAATCAATAAAAAATAAAATTCTAGAGAAATCTAAAATTATTTGTATTTTATGCCGTTAAGAAATTGCTGTAATTTCTTAACGGCATAAAATACAAATAATTTTAGATTTGCTATGAGTCATTCACGTATATTTAATTAAATAAATTACCATAAAATATTAAGTACTTCAAAAATATGTTTGATTAAATTTAGTCGAAAATGTATCAAAACTCAAAAGGAATTAATGAACTAATGAAAGGAAAGACTAACACACGATTCAAAAGTGTAAACCAAAAGTATAAATTGACCTCAAAATCTGAATTTAATAATTAATCATTAATAAAAACATTTGTATTTTGTAAAGCAACAAAAATATCTGCTAAATAAATTTAGGTTTCTTTTTGTAATCTATATAAAAAAATCAAGTTCTGATGACTGATAGAGTTCTTGTTTCAATTAGAGCTTAAGTAGCTATCATTCTGTTAAACAATAACAGTGGTTAACTATCAGTAGAAAATGTTAAAAAAATCACTAGAAAATGTTAAAAAATCACTAGAAAATGTTAAAAAATCACTAGAAAATGTTAAATTAAAACTATATTTCTCTTTGAAAACCGAAGCCTTCGCTAACCTGTACACTTGAAATACCGAAGCGCCCGAAATGCCTTTCGAGGTTTACAGCAGTTTCCTCCCCTCCCATCCATTAACGCACAAAGAGGTGTGGAGATTTAAAATGACATCCTTTCTACTTCCTAACAAATTAAGATAAGAAACCCAAAATAAATCCTTTTAGGACAAGTTGCCTGCAATAAACTGATACAATGTATTTTGCGGAAACTGCACCTCTTACTACATACCTTAGGGGGGGGAAGAAAAGAACTACGCAATTTCGGCCGTTTCCGGCGGTTGTGCTTCTTTGACTGAAGGGCCATCTGGGGCGTTTTGGTCTTCAAAGAGTTAAACTTTGATATGATAGTGCATTTGTATTTTTATCAAAATTATTAAATAGTCACTAATATTGACATTATTTATTTTCATTTCTCTTAGTTTATTTATTTATTTATTTATTTATTTATTTTTTGTTAATTGGTTTTCTTTTTCCTTTACAGTGTTAAAGACTGGAGCTTCTGGTCTAATAGCCTACCGCCTGGTCACAAAAACGGGGTCTTGGCAGTGGCTTCAAACAAGTGCAAGACTCGTGTATAAAAACAGCAAACCTGACTTCATCCTATGCACGCATAGGCCACTGATGTACGTATTGTGATCTATTTCACCTTAGAATGAATTTCCCAGCGCCCGATCAGTAAAACTGTTAATTCTTAACGGACTGACTGCATAGAAGTTTCAATGATTTCCCCCGTAGGTAACGTGAATACCAGTCGGTTTCACTTATAACATTCTCCTCGAAGGCGTCCCTTCCTTTAAGCAGATAGCCTAAATGTTTGATTTTCGTAATCTAAGTAATACAATCCTTTTAAAATTATTATAATTTTAATACGTGTAAGATAAATACCTATGGTAATGCAACACTTTCGCAAAATGACATTTTCTCAAATTCAGAATAGGAGTTTTTCTTTCTTTAGTAGATTTTCTAACAATCGTAACTGATTAGAGAACAACAATGAATAAGTGACATTTTCTCATACTATTAGAAACAATCAATCAGCCTGAGATCCCTCACATGATTTTTTTAATAATGTCTGTTCGGATGGCTGCTCTCAGTGGTGCCCAAAGGGGCAATTTGCCCGGAAGGACTGTTAATTTCGTTTAGGCATTTTGCATTGAGTCACTATGTCGGTTCACTTTTCAAATTGTTGCCACCAAACATTAGAACCCTGTATTATATTTATTAAAGAAATTAAATAATAAAGAATCTGCATAAATGTATGTATGTTTCCCGCATTGTGATGAAAAAACGGTACCTTGAGCCATTCAATTTTGAATAACGTACATTTCCACCCGAATATAGGCACGTGGAAGCCCAAATTTGGAATGTTTTATTATCTATTTCAGATTTTATAAAACTTTAACGAATTTTTGATTAACAAACTCAAAGAATTCAAAGCGAGCAATGGCAACGCTGTACAGAAAAAACACTTTTATCTCCAACCCGCGAGACTGTGCATCGGAAATTCTAAAGATATGCTCAAAATTTAAAGGAAAAGTTGGTTGGAATTAGAAACATATTGTAATGGATTGTGAACAAGTAACAATTAAAGCCATATAACATTCTTATTTCCCAATACCACTATCAAGGAATGTAACTATAAATTTACATTTTTACTAAAACACTGACACAGAAAATCTGCATTAAATAATGAAGAAATCCAATTAAATGTAATAACGTGAGCAACATAAGCGCAACTTCTTCAGCAGCTCATGCGACGTTCGGCCGTGTGATAAAATTGATGGCCACTGATAGTTTAGCCCAGATTCCAATCCCAGCGATTAGGCCTTAAAATAATTTTCCCGCCTGTTTAACGTAAATACGAGCCTGATACACTTAAAAATTTCTCCACGAAAGATCCCTGCCTTTAGGCAGATAAAGCTCATGTGTTATGCCGTAGTCCCCGCTCTTTTCAAGCTTATCAATGAAGTCTGGTTAATAATACAAATTTGCTCAGAAAACATCAATAAAGTCTGGTTAATGATAGAAATTTGCTCAGAAAACATAAATTAAGAGAATTAGTTAATAATTTTCTAATCAATTATTGGATAAAGAAACTATTCCTCTTGAAATATGAAATCGCAACAGATAAAACTATAAGGTATTTTCTTCCCCTTTTTTGCATGCGTTCGTAGTGTAACGGTAGCACACTCAGAGCGTATTCGAGAGGTCCAGGTTCGAGTCCCGGAAAGGGATCTGATCTGAAGTCCTGTTCAAAACACTGAAAGGGAATTCAAAACACAATGATTACCAAATCCATTGTACAGATTTGAATTTTTCTGGAAAGAAGCCGTAAAACGAATACATTCAAATGCAAGATACGATTATGAGAATCATCAATATTCTACATGATCTTATCTATGTATGTCAATCATCGTACCACATTTTTCAAGACCCTAGTTCAATTAGAACTGACCCTAAAGGACCTTTTTTCCGTAATAACCGATGACTCTCTATTTGAGACCAATATTAACCTGAAGAGAATAAGAAAGAATATGTATCTGTTAGATTAGGAATTGCATTTAGGCCAAAAAAAAAAAAAAAAAAAAAAATGCTTTTAGGGTTTTTCTGTGAATAATGCTCCAGAGATTAATTAATTATAATATTCGTGCGTAGAGGGAAAGTAATTACTCAATGAAAAATTACATACGTTGAGCTGAATTATTCAGAATTGCCACTTACTTAATTCATTTTTTATTCTTTTGTGTTTTTACTTTTCGTTTATTCTTCGTCTGTTACCTAATGAGTGTAACATCCATAAAAAATTTGATAATCACCAACATTAAACTGATGTAATTGTCTAAACTTATTAGAGTTCCTAAGCATTAAACTATTGTGAAAATTATTCATTTTTGTATATACTATTAGATATAACTTTAGTATTAAAAACGTTTACCTAAGTTTCTCATCTCACCTTTATCAATTTTCTTCAAATTGAACAGCAAAATCCTTTTCTCATAAGGATAACCTTCTTTTCTGAACCAAATTAAGTAAACTTTTAACAGGGAGATAAATATTACGAAATATTAATAAAATTTTATTGAAATATCACAAACTATTAAACAAGTTCTGCGTATCAAAAATAGAATCTCATCTCACCCTCAGATCTATAAATATCACAATCATTATTTCTATGAATCTCATAATCAATAATTATGCATTAGGGCATCTATTCAACCGAAATCATTACTTTTATTAATGTTCTGAAACACATGCAAGGATTGTTCGAAATAATGTAAACAACTAAAAGATATGAATCATTCAAAATTGGAAATTAGGAAATATTAATGCTACGTGTAGCAATTAATAGAATTTGAAACTTATGTTGCTAATAAAGGCTAACATTTCATATAAATATGCAGTAATAGGTTTTCATGAAAAAGCATAGTAGAAAAAAATTAGAAAAATTAAGTTATTTAAATTTAAAATTCGATTAACTGCTTTATGTAGCATTATTTTTCAGAAATTCTAAATTTGTAATGCTTTAATTTCGTTCTTGATTTTTCAGTAAAATTTTATTAGTTAATATAAAAATAGGAAATATAGATATAAAAATGTTACTTCTCAAGTTCCCATATCATTACGCGAAATTCGCTCGGAACGAAAATTTCATTCAAAACGTTCAAAATTCAAAACGAAAATTCACTCGAAATTTTGCACCCAGGAAACGCACCTCTGCGATATTATCGCCGTGCGATGATTTGTAGATATTTTTTTACCACTATACTGTGAACGACGATTTTTTAACGCTGATATGTTTTTCACAGCCTTTGTATTATATCACGATGTTTTAGAACTGAAGTGCTTTCTCCTTGCTTCCTCTTCTCCCACGATGTATGATGACGTTTTTCCGTTGCGTTATTTTTACATCGATTTTTTCGTCCACAATATTCTCATCTGTAACCATACATTCAGCTTACGCTACCCCCTTCATACTGTGTGTGTCGAAATTGGGTTCTTTAGCTCCATATTAAGCTGAGTACTTAAAATTTAGTAATGGGTGTTTTTTTTTTTTTTTTTTTTTTTTTTTTTCCCTGGGGGAAGGCTAAAATTTTTTTTCCTTGTCTTTGAGTAAGTCTTCTTGTAAGTAGGTTTCGTTTTTCTCTCATAACTGCGTGTCGCAGACGATGTTTTGCTTAAAATATTGTATATTTTCATGACTTTAGATACAGTACTTCTCACTATCTAAAATAATTTTACAACTGAGATTACACATGTAACAACGAGCCGGGTACCAATCATCTGACCACTTTGAAACTCGGTCAAATCACTCATTTTCCATCAATAGCGTCTAAGTTTTATAAACCACAAGTGAAGTTTATAATTTTATATAACTCTGAGAAAAAATCTTAAAAAAGTGTACAGGTAATTACCTAATCGATAGAAGTAAAATTTACTTTTGTAAAAAAGTGTTTCCGGTTTTTCAAAAACCCTTTGTATCTGTGTTTCAGAATATATATGTATATTTGCTTAGAAGCAAATTTTTGACACTTGTGTTTCAATTTTCCAGGGAAGAAGAAGGACGTGATCTGCTAGGAAAAAGGACGATGGATTTCAAAGTGACATATCTCGATGGCGGTCTTGGATCGCTAACAGACAGGAGTGGCCTTCTGTCAGATAGCGATTTCGTGCTTCGTTGCCAGAGGACGCGACGGTACAAGTCTCAAATACGAGATCTTATCACTACGTGTAGAAAGAGAAAGAGTCCAGTCAACGGTCCATCTACCGGACCAACGATAGTCGGAGGTGCTTTGCCAGATAATTCAACTTATATGGACGATGCTGCGGCTGCAGCTACAGCAGCAGTAGTAGCCGCAGGGTATAATAATGTTTACCCATACGGCACTGCAGATAATGTAAATGGCATAGGAGCGTCGTATGCAGCAGCGGCGGCGATGCCTCAGAACTTTTTCACAGCTGCCATAGACAATACACGGTTTTTATCGGCGGAAAACTTTCTGCCATATAGGCCATATTATCCGGACTATGCCGTTGCGCAATATCCATCAAATGGTTTCCTAGACGTAACAGCCTCTGCGACAGCTGCCAGGACTTGTTTTGCAACGGGGGCTTTTCAAACTGAATCGGGAAGCGTCACAAATCATCAGTTAAGCAGTACCAAAGAAGATAAATTATATCAATGTCAGATCGAAGCGGCAAAGTTTGGGAATTCCTCCCATTCGCCACAGCAGATTACAGATAGCAAAACACCAACGCCATCGTCCTGTTGTGACTCAACCTCGTATTTAGCTACAAATGGTGTAGATCACTTACGCGGATGTCTACTTAATAATACGAATCCGGGAATACAGACTCCATCTTCTTTATTACCCGTTACATTGGAACATCATGATATCAAAGTGAGGGACCTCGCTTGTTCTGGAAATTTAACGTTTCCCCTTCCCTCCATAACATCGAGCTCCGACTGCATAAATTCTGGACTAATTTCTACCAAAGCGCCCAAAACTGGTCTCAACGGAGCACCCAACAGCATACTAATGGCCATTCGAGATCTTCCTCACTGGCATAAGGAGGAGAAAGTATCCTCGTTTGAAAGCAACAGGCAAAGCGTTCTTATGTGGAATAATAATGGAGTGCGAGATACCATAACAATAGATTGCCCAGCTACAACAAGTGTTGGCTTAACTGGTTATGACATAAAATTGCCTCGGTATTGCGAGGCAGGAAGTAAACAAGAGAATGATATCGGTAATGTTAACAACTCGCCTTGTAAGTGGAGTGGAAATGCTGCCGCGCCGAAATCTGCATCTCCTCATAATAGTACCAGCCCTGCCAGCGGAAAAGTGGCCCCTCAAGTCACTTACAGCAATACTCCGTACACTCAAGATATGCGGTTAGAGGTAACACATTACCCTCATATACCGCATGTTATATTCGAGAGAAGGCGGAGCAACATCTCCTCCAGATAACCAAAACCTGTCATAAATGTGATTTGCCTAGTATGAAGGTACTGCATCTCATCAAAATAACCCATTTCTAATCCATCAATCCTTATAATTGATGTAATTTTTTGTGATTTAACTAACACACTAATACTTTCTTATCCAAATAGTGAATTAATATGCTAATGCAGTATATTAATTATTAATAATGTATATTAATAATTATGCTAGTGCATATTTTGTTCACATACCGAATTCTTAATGGATAAGGTTTTGTTATCTGAAGGAGGTATTGGATATATGTTTTATAATATAATGTTAAACATATTTTCAGCATTTTTTATGTGTAATTCGAAAACATAGACATTCTGTCTGCATATTTTTTCCTGACAATTTCTGACCAAAACATGAGAAAATAATATTCTTTAATACCTGTTTTGCGCGATATTGCTAATTTTTTATTGAATGAAAGAATACGTTTCGAAATTACATAACAGCAGAATTTGGCCCTATATCCCAATACTTCTTAAAAGAAAGAAACATTACATTTTAAATTATTACTTTCTTAACCAAAATTAGTCTTTATTACATTACAAAACTACAACATCACCAGATATTAATCACCTATTAATCGATGATTACATTAAAGTCGTCTCGTGGTTTATTTTTAGGTAAATTGTCGGCGTAATTTATTCCCCTAACTAAAGAAACTGAATTTTGATTTTTATCTCTTGAGAAAAGTCTCTTAATAGCAGCATTACCTTCGACATCATATCCGTAAATTGCCATTTTATTCTATTACTGTCTTCTGTGACATCGTTAAGGCATGAATTATAATAAACCAATCAAACGGTTTATATTTTTCTTCCCTTTGACTCTCATGAAGATTTTAATGTGGATATTTTCCAATAGAAATCTTTTATTAGTAATAGCAGCACAAAAATGTAAGAATGTTTATAATATACTAATAAACAGCTTAAAGAAAATTCTGTGATCCATGAAAAAAATTACAGCAGTGTATAGGTATTCATTTGGAAAGGGATAATAAAGCAAATTTTGCGCGGAGTTTCATTGATAAAACTAGCGGGGAAAAAAAGGAAATAATGTCTTTAATACCTCGAGTGTATGCAGAATTAATGCAAAACTTTTAAAACTTTTAAGCAATTTTTGATTTTGACCTATGTTTCTTTGACGAAAATAAAAGTGAATAACACTTGTCCTTCGAAGGCCCTTTTCATAGACGAAGAACATTTTCACTCGCAGAAAGTAGTCAGCACTCACTGCTCCTTCACATGGGTTTAAGCATCCTGATGTCGTTCGCTAACAGTCTATGCATTCTAATTCTGCTATTGTATAAGAGACAGTTTCACTGTAGGTTTGCTATTCTGTTCTTTTTCGTCAAACTCTAGTAAAGTGTACAGTTACGATCATACTTCACAAGAGCCATCTTGTACAATAAGTGGTTCCTGTTTTGCAACAAAGAAAATGTTTGGGTATTAATCTTGTTGGAAGATCAAACAATAACCTATACTTTTTATACGCAAAACGACACGCCAGCGACGGTAGTCTTACCTTTAAGGGACCCAAATACTTGTTTACTCTTTTCACAAGATTTAAACCCTTGTTATTTCTGATTGAGAGGATTCTTGGAAAGCTGTGTACAAGAAAATGTGCACTCTTCATATGAGCTGAAAGAGAAAGTAGCAACATAATTTTTCTTTTAATCCTCCTAAAATACTTCATAAGCTGTTGACGAAATCGTATTACCATTTCGATGTACAGTCGACAAAGATGTTTTCCAGGCTAGGGTCATAACTTTCCGAATTCTGTTTTATTGTTTGATGAAATCTTCTGCTTTATATTCATAGCTCTTAAAGTGCCACATTTTCCAGTAAAATCATGTATTTCCGACGGGAAAAAGGCATTTAATGCTTTGGAAGGTCCATGAATTTCTTCCAGAGTCAATAACTATTTGGCATATTTCCTGTAGTTCTTTATTTCTTCTAATATAATCTGAATTAATTCAATGGCTGTATGTCATCAGTATCTTGTGTTCCTTTGAAAAAGAAGTGCATTTCATTCAGGCAGTATATAAAATTATAAAACTCTTTATTGCAATAACAGTCAGTTATTAAGAAAAGCTTATAGCATCGAGTTACCGTTCCTTGATCTAAATACATCATGGAACAACAAGAAACTTTCAGCTATTTTTAACTAGTCTACAGTCCTGAATGTAACAAGCATAGTATTAATAATGAGTATAATTCTGTAGAGCTGTGCGAAAAATAATTCTTTCTTATAGAAAAATGATCATATTCAAGTTCGAGATTCATTTATTTATAGTAAAGCACGCTAGTTAAAGTTGTCTTAGAAAAGCTGCTTCCGCAGGTGATTTTTCTTATAAGTACTGGTTCATATTTGAAGCACAAAGAAGGAAACCGTATGCACATGAGAAATGCACCTAGCCACTAGTGAACGTAATTGTTAGCAAAATTGCATACAATTACCATTTTCGTATAAAAAGTCTTATTAAATATTGAATTAATACACTCATTTTTAACACAATGTTACGATTAAAAACTTTTTATCTAGTACAAATACGTTGACAAACATAACAAGATATTTTCAAGTTCATTAACTACAAAACTGATGAAGTAACGATTCCTTTAAAAAGGTTATAAAATTTATGTTTAAAAAACTATTTTTGAAACGTACAAACGCCTCTTGATGGATTTGAAAACCCACATAATCCTTCAATTAATATTTTAAAGGAACGATGCAATTCGTATTGTACAGAATTTTCATCAGAGCAGATGCAAATTCACAAATTTATTTCAAGTAAAATCAAAATTATTTGTACTATTCTGTAAACAAATTGTTACGATAGAAATAATCCTATGAGCAATGGTTTTTCAGCAGAATAGCTGGAAAAACAAATTTATAAACTTTCAAAATAATAAACTAGAGATTTTCTTTGTCAAAGCAATTTATTCTAGAGAAGAAAAAGAATTTTTTTATGTCTGGTATTTTTGGGTGAAAAAATTTTACAAAAGTGTTTAACATTGATTAAGATTTCTCAATTTTAGGATTCCTTTAAAATGAAAATTTTAACATTTTTATGTTAGAAATAAAATGTTCCTTAAATATTTCTGCTCAATAGAACTTTGCATAGTCAAACAAATTTATTAACTTAGAATATTCAACTTGTAAATTGTGTGTTTTATTTAATGATCTTTTTAATAGTTCTTTCTTAGATCTCAAAGAAAACTTATAAAAGATGCATTTGTATGCATTTCAAAGAAAAAGAAAAAATTAAAAAAAAAATTATGTACTTCTTTTTCTGCAATAAAATAATAAGTGCTCAATGGTGTGCAAAAACAAAAAAAAAAAATTAACAGATGATAACCGTAAGCTAATTTACCTAAACAGCCTACCATCGGCTGAGCGGTAATGTCACTAATCACTGGTAGTTCAGTCCAAGGGCTGGCTGCATGGTTGTTTCCGTAGTTTTCCCTACGTGTAACGTGTATACCAGCCAGTTCCCCTTAGAAAGTCCTCTAAGAAGGCATCCCTCTACTCAACCAGGCATTTATTTAACCAGGCAGATAGCCACGGAGTGTCTGCCGTAATCACATAAACTAAACCAATCTTGACCTAAACAGTTTAAATATCTGACGTATCATAAACTATAGTCGCCCAAACAGTTTTGGCTCACGGTAGCCTTTTCAAGGTCTATTTTCCCCAATTCAGGTTTGTCTATGTCCCTTGCTCTTGCGACCAAGATGTTATGAAGCAACTTCTGAATATAATCTGTAAAATCTAACCGAAAACGCATACGTTTCAGGTATTTATTACACGAGCACTGCATCAAAGTATTAATTGTATTTCCTTACACACAACAGAAAAATAATGGTATGTATAAGCTCAAAACATAAATATTAGTAATAAACAAGCAAAATATGTAGAAATTAATCACAGGCAACGGTATATGTTGAAAAAACATACTATTTTTATCCCGAACATCAATTGGAGCTGGGATTTTATGGCCATGATTTTAGAATATTAGACTGATAGTTTTCAAATTCTGATTGCATGAAACAGAAAAATGAAACTGCATGTAAACTGGACCAGTCTGTTTGAAGGTTCGATTGATCTGAATTGATATGATTCTTATAAAGATGCAAGTCGATAATAATTATACACTCAAAGGAATCTTTAAATGTTTTAACAGTGTTTAAGCAACCAGATTTTCCAAGTGAGTTCTTATTATTCACTTGCTCCTAAAAGACCCTTTAGTAACCCTCGTACCTTTAACTCCCCCTAGAACTCCTCAAAGCCCAATATGTGATAACGTCCATACCAGAAAAGTGTGCTATAATTGCAGTGAAATTTCTTATACCTTGAACTATGAAAGTGATCGCAATGCATAATTCACAAGTGCACATTAGTATCGCTATCGAGGGAGGTGTTTCAGAAATGGACCAATGAGATTCTTTTGCTCTTGTGACGCTTAATATTTGAAACTGTGCATATGAGCGCATGTTGTTGCTTACGTTTTATTTTGCATTTTTTCCCAGTTATAAATGCATGGCGTATAAGCTGCTACCATGTTATTAGAAATTCTAGCAGTGCTTTTATTTTTGTAAGTTCCTGTTTATTTGATAGTCAGCATTTCACTTTCGCGAAACTTAACACACACTGAAAAATTGATTCAACCTTCATGGCATATTATCACTCTTTATATATAGAGAAAATGACTCAAGCTACAATTAGTCTCAAATATTATGCATTTACTAACACCTCTGAATTATGAGAATTCAAGTGTATAATCTTTTTATTGAGCTGAGAATAACTGGAAGTGTTACAATGAATCTAGTATTTTCTCAATGTTTGCATGCCTTTGATTTTGAAAGTGTAAGATTCAAAATATATATTATGATTGATCTAATTATACCTATCATTAACATTAAAAGGTATATATGAATAAATTAAATATATTCGTTGTGAATAAGATTAATTCATTCTGCTTGAAAAGTATTTCTTGCATAGGCATTCTTTCATTTAAGAGTGAACGGTTATTAATGGGAATTCTAACCCAATAAATGTGTAGGAATGCTATAATGTTCCTGAGTACTTTGTCTACGTTAAAATGTAGCGGAACCTAGTGAACTAAGTAGCGACTTATCGCTGAGTTCGAGTATTCACTACAGAGTCTTGGGAAGGGTTAAAATACCCTTTTATTTACTCAAGGAAATAATAACAGATGGCCCCTTCTGAGGCTTACAGGAAAGCCTCCACTCGGGCTTTTAAATTAGGAAAATAAGAAATTAATCTAATATTAAACTAAACAGACTTAGAGGCTAGACACAAATACCTAACTTAGTTGGCCCTTAATTTAACTTAGCCGGTAATTATCAACAGGCATGTACAGTACGGTTGAGCGTAAGATTCCAGAACGAAGTAGTCAGACGGCAAACAAGCGCCACTAAGGACTCCTAAACTCTCTCGAAGTAAGCTGAATCTTCCTTAAATACTCCTTCTAACTCATTTGCATAAAACGCAATAGTAAAAACTCATTCTGGTATGGAATAGTAGATGGAAAAAGAAAATAAGCATAGAAACTTAAAGTAACCTCCACATCGCAAATTAGGAAAATTCACTTTAAATAAAAGCGTGCATTGGCTATATAGAACATCTTTTTTCATACAGGCTGCACTATAAAATGCTAAGACTTCTACTATTTCCATATATAAGTATGCTTATATTTATCTAATTTGACACTGAACATTTTCACAAGAAATCCACGATTTAATTATTTTATACAGGAAATAGCGTGGCGAAACATTTTCAACCATCTTAAGTAACGCTCAGCAAAGGTCATGTGAAATGACAGAAAAATTACTGGAAGCCCATTGCTTCATTTTAGAAGCTACTTCCTCAGTGTCGATACAGATGTGCACTTATGAAATATGAAATATGCGACCAATATTTCTGAGATTGGATACTGAATGTTATTTCTCTAAGGGTAACAAAAACGTCTGGAAGTGCGGATAGACAACTTAGACAAATTCCCTTACATATTATAATTTCATGACATAAAATACGTAAGTAGTTGAATAGATAGCAAAAATATTTATCGTATTAAAAACTTTTAAAGAGATATTGGTTTAAATAGCATGGATATTCAAAATTTTTAAATTGAAACTGTCATAAACAAGATATGATATGCAAGTCAGTTGATATCTTCTTTTCTTTCTTTCAGCTTCCACTGGTGAGGTCTGACATCATCCGACCATCTTCCGTTAAACAAGAAGGAAATCCTCTGCTTTCTATATCGGAAGTGACGAACACTTTGTTGGACCATCATTAGATGGTATGCACTCAAAAACCGGTGACGCGACGCCAAAAAAGTGACCTTCATCTCTTGTTTCATTGCATCTCAAACATTCATCGAACACTGTGTTCGAGAATGCTGTTCACTTAACTGTTTATCAGGAAACATCTCAGGTCTTCCATATTTTTTGAGAAATATTGCATTTGCATACAATTCATTCACATAAAGCGATATTATTAGCATAGTTTTACAGTATGTGTTTAGGTTCATTTCCAGTGGCTAAGCTTAAGAAGTGCCGTAATAATTAATTCAGAACTAATTATAAAATCTGCTTTAGGTGTGAGTTATTCAACGTGCAATAAATTAAAATCGTGATTTACGCAATTATTATGGAAGGAAAATTAGATTCAAGAACGTTCCTTAGAATATTCGAATAACATGAATAATGTAATTTGAAAGTCACCCCTGTAATGAGAGTTATCATCACGACTCAACATTAGCTCTTACATAAATTCTTAGAAAAATTCCGTTCCCTGTATCATAGATTTCAAATGAAAATGCTCATAACTTCGAAAGGAAAATATCCTTCCTTTAAAAGCAAATTATGCAGATCTGGAATATTGGTTCACGTATTAAATACACAAGTATTCATCTAATGAGCGAAAAAAATGCAAATAATAAGAAGGAAGAAAATTAATGTTTGAAAATTTCCCAAGTGTGCTTAATGTTTTCAAATACTATATATTTCCATTCCCCCCCCCTTTTTTTTTTTTTTTTTTTTTTTTTTCGCAGACAGCGCTTTAAGAGTTTTACGTTGCAGTCAAAATTTTCGGTTTTAAAATCATTACGCTAATACAGCAGTGCACTAAAATTAAAAAATATATGCTACAAAAAATAGCGAAAAGAGACACTTACAAAATTTGTCTCCTCACTAAGTAAAAAAAATAAATAAATTCTTAAAAATTCTTAAATTCTTAAAAATTTCAACAGAAAAATTTATAGCATGTTTGGCATAAAGCAAGGGAATAATCATTCACATTGTAAAAATATATTGTTATCCTCCAATCTCTAAGTACCTCAAATTGCCGAGATCTTGCCCTGACCAAAGAAAGTCTATTCTTTGCCCTGACTTCTCTTTTCTTCTGTACATAATAATATTTCTCCGTTTTTATTCTCAACAGATGGCGTTGTATATTATTTTGTTGCGTTTTCGTCTCTTCATTCCTTATTTGTTTATTGCTAAGCAAATAAGAATGATAAACAAATCCAGTACAATTTTGTTAATATTATGCAAAATTGGATCATTATTATTATTACTAATTCCTAACTGCTTTACAATATAGTCGGAATTCAACCCTATTGCTAATTTTAAGTAATAAATAGGACATTAAAAGAACAAAAGAAAATTAGCACAAAAAAATTGGCTTGCATTTGTATCTTGTTCTAATTAAGTTTCTTTAATGTGCCTTTTACAGAAAATAAAAAATGAGATTGCTGAACGCAGTTTATTATTAACCCTTAATATCGTGCTATATTTTTCAAAATAATGGACAGCAGAGATGTTACTGGTAACTCAGGTTTACACTGTTCATCAAAGCAGATGTATCGAAGACTGAATCTCATCAGGCGAGAGGACCTTCTTCAGCAGGATTTCAAAAATTAAACATCATTATTATTCTTGTACAGTATGGCTTCTTCAGAAAGACAGTGGGTTCATCATCCTTCGCAGACGGAACTGTGCAAAATGATCTTTCCTTCCCGCCCTCCTCACACATTCCACTTTTTATTGTGATTTCACAATTCCAAACCAATTCCTATTTGCGTTTGAGAATTTTGCATTAGTAACCTAGTTCTTGGAACTATCTCCTTTCTATAAATATTCTTAAAATTTACACCTGTTGTAAAAATCATAATTTTGAACCTGAAAGAAAGAAGCAATATAAGTTTTGTTATTTCTTCGGGATTTTAACGTGTGTGAGTTTTTTTTTAAATATTATTCATCAGTAATATTTTACAATTGCCCAGTAAGACTTCTGTAAATTATTTCTTGTTCTAAAAATTGTCTGTTATAAAGCAAGGGAAAAATATTTAAACTGAATAAAAGCTGAATTACTTTTCTCTAACAACGATTGCCTTTCGAATTTATGCAGTTGAAATATATGGCTTATAAAATGTTCTATGTAATATTAAAAATAGTTTTTATGAATATCTTTATGAAAGAAAAGCACGAAACGGTGACTAATTTTATATTATATTATGTATATAAATCAAAATACTTATGTTTTTGCCGCTTGTGTTTTGCGTTAAAAATGTCTTTACTTTTTTCTGGAATGATTTGTAAATACTTTTTCAAATATTCTATTTATTTTTCAGATGTAGTGTGATAATTATGTACAATATTCGTTCTTATTTCAATAAATTATTAGTTTGAAACCTTAACTTTTCTGACAACCCTATCTCTATAAAGAATTATTCTAAAACAACTATTTAAAACGCAATAGCTGCATTTGTGTTCAAATAAAAAATCGTAGTGAAAAACTTGTTTAAGTTCGATAAAGCTGTCATGTTTCTGCAGTACAGATTAAAAGATATAGCCTCGTTAATAGCCTGTGTTTTATGAAGCTATTTCAATAGGTTTCATTTTAGAAATCTTGTACGCAATCAAAAATTATACTTACACGGTACTTATTGTACAAAAAGTGTAATTTTAAAAGAATTTGTAACACTGCATTTTTACACTTTTGAAACATAACACAGAAATTTTATGAGAAGTATGAATAAAAGATTTTGGAAGTCTGGTATGAAATTGCATGCAAGTTTTTTAGAAGCTCTTACTTCTTTTACTCCTTAAGTAGCTTATAATAAGGGATTTTAGATGTTTTACATCTTGTATGAAATTTTATACACATCTAAAACCTTAGTCCTCTTTATTTTATATAAAGGAGTTTGGAAATCTTGTATAAATTTCTGTACAAGAATTCTAAAATCTTTCAGCAATATTTCCTAGGAATAATTATTATACCTTAACGTAGTTAAATTAATTGGTAAAAGAAAGTTCTTTAATTCTTTCAGGCGAATACTTTTCTGACATTCCTGCTAAGCGGGCTAAATATTTTGGCGAATTGCCAAAGATCTTACTTCTTGTTTTTAGACAACATATCCCTTTCCATTCGTAAATATTTTATGCTACTAATTTATTTATTAACCTACAACAATAAACTTTGAAAATTTTAAAGTTTTCTGCAAGGTAACTGTTTAAAAGAAATGTATTTGTTAGGCATTAAGAATCTATTTAAATGCAACCGAAACAGAGAAAAGTAGTACAGCCTTATTATATAATTGATTTTGATTTTGTTTATGCATAACGACGTAAAAAAATGAGTAACTCTAACCATTCATGAATTTCATTTTCATTTGTTGTCATTTATATCAACAAATCCATGTTTATTTATGATCTTTCATTTGCCATATTTTGCATTGAGTTTATGCCAAAAAATTTGATTTCATAATATTTTTTACTGCTTAGCTGTGACTGTATATATTTGTTTCATGTCCTAATAATTACTAAGAAGTGTAATAGAGGAGAAAAGAGGCTACTCTATACAAAGTCATTTATTCCATATAAAAAAGTTCAGCTTTCTCTGAACAGATTATTTGTTCAAAATTTGAAGTGAACAACCAATTTAAGGATGAAATTAATTTTAAACTTGTTATACTCGAGTTTTGAATACTTTACTTGACACACTTCAGTTCAATTTTAAAAGCGATATTCGGAAATTTCTCTTCAGAATTTGAAAAAAGTTTGTTTACTTTTATGCGTTTTTGTATGAAGATTCAAAAATATTTAAATTTCGAGTTATATAAATTGGTCATTCTGATAAGTAAATAGAAAAATTACTTGAGACTTTTAAGCAATATATTTACATAAAACTTAAAATGTATTAAGCAAAAGAAGCAATTAAGGGTAATTTTAATCTAGATACTAATCCAAAATTCCATACTAGCTCATATTAGTTTGCTTTCTTCAATTTATTTTTATATAGCTAAAATTGGAACTAACTTTTCATTTTCTAAACAGGAATAATAAAAGAAAAATTTAGGACATTTATAAACGTATTTTTGAACATCCTATTTGACCTGAGAATGATTTTGCCCTAATTAATGTAAACTAAATAATTTTAGAAATTTAAACTATGACTCGATTAATGTGTAAAAAAGTAAGTATTCAAATTTATCTCTGTGCAAGAATTTCCTACACTTTTCTGCTTTGTTTAACAAGTAAAAAGAAAATGAAAATAATCACTGCAATTAACAATAAAAGAAATCTAACAAACTGTGCGCACAGTAAAATATCCTACACACTACTTATTTATATTCTACATGTTATTTTTTGCCAAATGACGTTAAAAAAGTAAATAGTGATTGAAAAAAGTAAAACTATATGTATGAGCTTGATTTCTCATTATCTGAACATTTAAAAACACTTTTAACTTATAAAGTAATAAATTATAATGAGTAAAAATTTTAGTTTAAGAAATTAAAATGTTTTCCTAACTTGCTAGAATTTTTATTCATCATAAATTATGAATAATCATTTTCAGCGAACTTTTATTCTTAGCCATTTTACAAGTGCAAAAAATTCATACAGATTTCGTTCACTGTAAAATTGTTTTACTTAACTTACATTCTGAATGTATGTCTTATGTTCTGTATGTCTCATGTTTTACGTTGTTTAATGTACGTGTTACGTTCTGAAGCAATTTAGCATATATTCAGCAATAGTTATGCATTCATCATATGAAGAACACTAATTTACGTCTCGAAAAAAAAAATGTCAACAGATTTTTTTGTTCTTTTTAACTTTCGTTTCTTGTAAACAGCGACTGATGTCTCGAAATGTGTGTCTCTAGTTACCCTGAAATGTTTGTTCGTTTGTAAAGTACATGCTCGTTGGTCACTGTATTATTAAGACAATGTAATGTTTTATAACTTTCAGCGACCTAATACAGATTCGCATTGTATATAAGTTAGCAATAAACTATTATATATGCTACGTATTTGTGTCTTTTCATTGAATATCAGAATTTCTTACATAAAAGCCTCTCTCTGGCTAAAATTCGTATTTGTTCTACTGAAGTAAAATAATTAAACTCAGGCTAAAATACATTCTTCTGCACAACCAAAAGCTTTAAATATTGTGATAAATCAAAAAGTAATATTTTTATTTATAAAATGGCATAAGTAGGAGTTGATCTTATTTCAGTTTTTATTATAGTCTCTAAAAATTCAAAGCTGGATTTCTGAAGTCAGTGCCACAGAGATTCAGAAAAAAAAATCCTCAGGTTGACGACGTGGTCAGCGGTACATTGCCTATTTCATCCTGAACACTTTTCGAACTAAAACATTCTTGAGGAACACTTCATTTACCTCAAAAAACCTTCAATAAAAAAACAAAAACAAAATATATTCTTCATCTCCTACCCATCGAAACCGTTCTTCATACAAGAACTACTTGCTTAATATCTGAAACTATTGAGTCATAGTTTGAATACCTTACCTGAGATTCCTTTCTTGGAAAGCCCACTCATTTATCTCATGGAGATACAGGTGCGATCTCGGTACTGCCTTTTTATCCTCCAATAAATGTTTGCTCATTTCTAACTTTTGGCTCGTTAAATTAGTATAATTGTCTCCTGCTTATCTTAGTAGAAGTTTCCAGGTGCCATCAAGACATTAGTGCAGTTTTTCCACGGAAGCACACCAAAAAAAGAAGAGATGCGTTTTGCTGCTACAAGAATACCCAATGCCCGCCAGCAAACCTGATTTACTACGCACAGGCTCTAAAAAAAAGGAGACGCATCGACTTCCTTATCTTCCCAAAGAAAATTCTTGAGAGACCACTTTCTGAAAATTCGGAAAAGGTTCTTTCCATTCACAAAATTACGGCGGAAATCAAAAACATTTTACCCTTACAAAAAGGCGGAATAGCAGTGACCTGAAAGTCAGATCAAGATATTAACGAACTTTCACGAACCCTGAAAGCATCTGAACCAGTAATTAGCAATATTGATGTAAAACGCCCCTCGTTGAGGTCCCCGAAGATCATCATTGACCAAATCTCGGAACATATTTCGGAATCCAACATCACCCAAGAAATCAGCTCCATCCTAGAACTGATCCAAAAGACGAAACCCTCAAATTCCACCTTAGTGATAGAACCTTAATTGTGTTAGGTAGGTATTCAAATGCACTACAAAAGCATTTCACAAATGTATTCAAACAAAATCCTTCCTCATGAGATGGAGCTCCCATACAATAAAAGAATTCACTGGAATCCGCAGATGCTTCATCTACCAAGACTTTTCACACCAGCTAAAACACTGCCCTAATAATAATTGCTGTGTTTTTTGCAGCGCAAAGTATCCCATCAGAGAGTGCAAAGCAGAATTCCCGTACTGTATCAACTGCGAATTACACAACAGTACAAGCAAGACTCGCTTCGAAATCGACCACCCAGTACACCTCCAAGTCTGCCCTAGTTATCAGAAAGAGTTAATCAAAAATGAAGCAAGAACAAAATATTAATAATCTAGCAGCACCCAAGCCATCAAAAACCAATCAATTGTATGGAAATTCCATAAACAACAAGAATCCACCCAAATAAACCTCCAAAGAGCGCAAGCAGCGAATTCTAAATTAGAAATTTTTCTTTCTGAAAATAAGACGCTCTTCTGATCGAAGAGTCGTATTGCGTAAAAGGAAAAGTAGAAGCACTGCCAACTAGCTGTAATATCTTCCCATACCAAGACAAAGATCAAACCTCGGTAAGAGCAGCGATAATCTTCCAAAACAAAAACTGGTCTCCAGCAATAATTTATTCATCCAGAGACATTGAAACAATAGCCCCAATTTAGAAAATTAAGAAATACTATTTACATCATTCTATTCCTCTCCATCTGAAGAAATAACAGATAACTTGAGCATCCTGCAAAGATTTTTAAAATCTCCTCATGTGATTAGGAGATATTTCAATGCGCATAATCCCATGTGGGGTTGCCCACGCATGAATGCAAGAGGTGAAGAGGTAGAAGATTTAATTAACAGTGAGAACCTCACAGTGATTGACAATAATCCATCTGAACCAACATTCCAAACTATCGATGGATCTGGATGGTCGGATATAACGCTCACAAACCAACTGATAGCTCAGTATATCCAGAACTGGACAGTTCACGTCGAAGAGGATATCTCAGACCATAGACTGATTTCATACTGTATACTCTTCTCAATTCAACACGAAGACTACCAAAAGATTCCAAATTACCCAATCAAGAGCACGAAAATTCATGAAGTCCATTACAAATGCTATCCAAGAAATCGACAATGAAATAAATTGCTCAGAAAACAAAGCGCATCTAAATAACATAGTTACAAAACTTCAAAACACAATTCAAAAGCACTGTGAAAGCTCGTTCAAGATAAAATACCCAAGCGATATCAAACGCGTCAATCGGTGGACCACCGAACTCAGGTGTGAGAGAAACAAGACTAGAGCATTAAAAAGGAAGATGAAAAAGACGAGAACTGAGGAATAAAGAGAGATAGCCAACAAGTTGGATGCAAAGCAAAGCAAAGAGCTATGTATAAAAGAGAGATTTATAATACAAAAATTAAGTGCTAGATTAAGTATATAACCATCAATAAAAACTGGTACGGACCAGTGTACAAAATATGTACCAACAAAGTCTTCCATCCGTGTCAAATTTTTATCCCAAACTCCATCAACGAAACTAATTCACAGGAGGATGCAACAACCCAAAGCATCATGAAAATAATGGATGCTGTGTTCCTTCATAATTCCCCAGATGAAGAAACACCACTCCAGAGTATCAGAAGAAACAATAGCCACCCCTCAGAAACAAGTAATAATATTCCATTCTCTTCCATTGAAATTTCAAGAATAGTTAAAATCCTATCAAACAAAAAAGCACCTGGGCCAGACTGAATCGATAACCATCTCATCAAGATCCTGCACAAGAACTTTCCCATCTACTTCCAATCTAATGAATAAATGTCTAGAAACAGGTCTTTTTCCGACAAGTTTCAAAATCGGCCAGATAGTTCTTTTTAATAAAAATGGTCAGAATGCATCGAATCCAGGTTCTTACCTCCCAATAAACCTTCTTCCTGTAGTAGGGAAAGTACTTTAGAGAGCCCTAGCGAACCGCCTCAGGCATCACATAAGGAAGTTCAACACAGCAAGCCCATATCAGTTCGGGTTCTCTCAGAAAATAAGCACTATACATGCAATCAATGATATTCTAGAGCAGATAAAAGAAAATGAAGTAAAGAATCTGCACTCGGCTGTAGTGTGCCTAGACCTCTAAAACGCCTTTAATTCCCTCTGTTGGCCGGAGGTTCTAGGAACACTGAAAGACACAAACTGCCCAAAAAACCTTTACAAAATTTTTCAAAATTACTTCACTTACAGACGCAGAGTCATTATAAGTAACAACCATACAGTTGAAAAAGTACAAGTCAGAGGCTGCCCACAGGGCTCATGCAAAACTGTAGATTTTTGGAACCTGACGTTTGACAAAGTGATATAGCACAAATGGCCCCTAACACTCAAAATGTACCGCTTTAGCGGACGATGTACCTTTTGTCGTGAATGGTAGCTCGAGAGACGAGTTACAAAGAAATATAAACAACACATTAGAAATTTTCAATTCTCTTTGCAAACAACAAAAACAAATAATTTCTCAATAAAAATCACGTGCCTTAATTACCCACAAACCCTCAGAAAAGATAACAAGACTTCGAAGATTCGAAATAGAAGGAATTAAAATAAAAATAGTTAACTCCCTAAAATACCTGGGTGTCATCATTAATAAAATAAAACTTAACTTTATAGGCCATCTAGACTATATTAAAAGCAAGACCTTCAAAATAACAACCAATCTAAAGCAAATGAACGGAATAGGATGGGGGATGAGAAGACCAATCCAAAACCTCATCTACCATAAAGTAATCTATAAGATTGCTCTATACGGGGCAGCCATATGGGAAGAACCAATGACAAAAAGAAAGCAAAAAAGCTTCATATAATCCAGCGACCTTTCCTTCTCAACTACACAGGAAACTACAAAACAACATCAAATGCGGCTCTCTACCAAATCGCTAACAGAATGCCACATTTTATACGCGCTGAACAAGAATTCCATAAGACAACAGTACTACAACTACGAAAGAAGAGCCATTACAAATCATTAGAACTTTTAGCACAGAAGTAAGAGGCACCGGTACACCCATATGAGCACCATCCAATGAAAAAAATAATATTGTAACCAATCCTTTAACATAAAGTGTTGAACTAATTGTGACAACAAGGCTGCCCTCTAGTGAGTAGCCAGAGAAGTACTTCAGTAAAAGCCAAGTGTCCCACTTGATAGGTTGTACCAGACTCTTGCTCTGTAATTTTCTTAAAGTTAAATGTAATGTCCGTGTGTAACTTAAACCTGTTAATAAATACTTGTTACACTATACAAGACTCTTCTAGGACAGATCCCTTCACAATATCACATTAAGCATGAAAAAAGAAGTAAACAAAAATAAATTTCCCCTGCTCTATACAGACTGCTTCGGCCTAGAAGAAGGTAAAGGCAGCGCAATCAAAATCTACCTAGACCCCAACAAGACAACAGAACAAAAGTTCCATCTAGATCAACAAAATAGTATATTCCAATAGGAATCAGTAGCGCTCCTTCAAGCAATAAAATACAGTATCACAAACTCCCTGAAAACAGCATATGTCTTTACAGACAGACTTTCAGAATGCATGCCATCGCAAGCCCTCACCATCGATCAAAATTAATCCAAGAGTTTACAGAAGAACTTCAGCATCACAAAATCAACACTTCTTTGTCACTTGGCTGAAGTCACATGCAGGGGCAAAGGTAACGAGGAGGCTGAGATGCTAGCCAAAGAATCAGATAGAGGTCAAAACGCACAAACTTATCAGTACCATGGCCTGGCTTGCACCTTAAAAAAATCATAAGCAGCAAGTCTAAACCTGAATGGCAGAACTGGGGGGATAACGCCGAGCAAGGAAGAAGGATTTATGAATTGTTCCCAAAAGTAGGCACAGCACTCAATTTAATAACAAGAGAAATAACGTGGTTCTTATCAGGGCATGGCCCCTTTCCTACATACGTTTATGCAAGGAACTTAGCTACATCATGCTCCCTCACAGCTGAACACCATTTAAAAGTCCCGAATTCAGATGACGCCTTTTAGAAGATATGCTACCAAGAACAACCATCTCAGAAAATAAATCATAAATATAATGAACTTCTTGTCCACAAGAGGCACTGTGTTATGCAACACAACATAGAATAACATAAAGATATTACTTAAAATATTGTATATAAGCAGACCTGGAGCTGTCCTCCATAGCATGTAAGGGCGAAAGGTACCGTGAAAACATCAATGTATATATAATGGGAAAAAAGGCACTGCCCGCGGTGTGGTACCATTACAAAGCCTTACAAGCAACGCTTGGAAAGGTCACCTGTGAGCCCTGGGGGTGATTATCTGGATAACTAGTGTGCCTGGACACATTGCTAATGGTTAAACAATGAGTGTCAATCACACTTCACCACATCCATATCCAGATACAATTTTATTATAAGTAATCTGAAGTTAGTTGAGATACTATTTCGAAGCTTTATATTTTCCGAACTGAGATAGGGTACGCCCAGGTACCCGGGTGTCTTAAGCATCGTTCCACAAGAGCAGAGTTGCCATCTTGGCTGTTATGTGCTGATGTAGTGACAAGAGTACGAGCACTGATTCCTCAAGCTGGAGGCTATAACATTTATAGAAAAATAGTATATTGTATTATTCTGATTTTTATAACCACATTAAGAATTTGTTTTACTTGCAACGGACTTCAGACATTATGTGCCTTTCCAAGAATGCATAAGTACACAATACAAATTTAGATAATGATACTTTAGGCATATTTATGCCTAATAGTATCATTATCTAAATACATTATAAACACTGAAGTTATACATTTTAAACACTGATATGTATTTTAGACTACTGTAATTAGCCAGAAATATTAGACATTTTTAATATTTTTTTTTTACTTTAAAAACGTCTCAAAGTTATCTCTGAATTAAAATAAAACTCTTACATTAAAATATGTAATACAGGCAATGACTGTTTGCCCGCATGCTTGTATTGGCTTGGGCTTTGTGACTGTCCCTCATATCCTCTGTGCTGTGCGGACAACATCAAATATTGGATGCTTCTCATCTTGATTCATGCTCTGCACTTGTGCTTTTAAACTGTAAAGTTCAGAAATATTGGAAGGCTAAATGGCATCATAGTCAATCTTCAGGGCATTTGTAATAAATAAATAAATAAAAATATCTAACAATATTTGACACATTTCATTTAAAACAATTAGAAAAACGCGCCAATATACAAATTCGACGTAAAGAATTTAACAACGAGCATCAATAAGCTGAGTGGCTGAAATGTTTTTATGAAAAGAACCTGTATTCACTTTTTCAGAAACTGGTGAAAGGATGAGAAAATAAATCACCTAGATGTGATATAAAGCAAAAAGAAAGTTCTAAAAAGTACTCAAACAATGTTCGGAATGAAAGAAATTTTTTTTAAATGTTGAGAAAACAAAAACAACTGTTGAGAGTACAAAAACAAAATCAAAACATCTGTTGAGAAAAAAAAACTGTTGAGAAAACAAAACAAAAACCTCTGTTGAGAAAACAAAAACACACAAAAAAGGAATTATTCAATACACTATCTGAATACTAACCTGAGAAAATGATTGGAAATGAAATTAAAAGAGGTGGAAAGGAAATTCAAGCATTTTTTTTTTCATTTAATTTAAAAAGAGAACAGGTTCTCAGACTGCTGTACTTTGAGAGGCCTATTTAACGCCTCTAAATGTTTTTCTGTTTACCTGTTTAACATTTCTAAATTTCTCCGTTTTTCTTAAAAACATATCATTTTGAAAACTTTTATTATAATTACATTCATAAGACTGAAGATTACTTTTTGGTCTGAAAAGGTATTATACTGGAATTACTTGATATCAATATTGCGTTTTTGTAACGTAGCAAATTCTTTTTATTTGATAAAGCTGCTTATTTTCCTCAGAAATCCGATGTTTTCAATACTTTCAGTTTTGAAATTATTGTGCAATTAAGCTTTCAGGCTGAGTAACACTAGGTAATTTGAAAATGAATGAGTTGAAAATATTGTTAAATTATTGCCATTTAGCATCCATTCTGAGAGTGATTTTACTGAAGTCTTCCAGATTTTCAGATTTCCAAATAAATTATTCCACACTTTTAAAAAGAAGTGCGTATTGATGTAAACAAGAAACAGAATGCATACAAAAGAATAAATTTTCTGGTTTCTTAATAGTGTTGGACTTCTTCCTATGGAGATTCGTGCAAAACATTATTTTCCAGACTCCAATTCGTGACACTGCTGAACTGAAAAGTCGAATTACAGAATCCATGCAGAGTATTGATCCTGCAATTCTTTATACAACGTGTGAGAAATCTCGTATAGACTCGATGTGTTCCCCACAACTAATGGTGCTTACAATGAGATCGTGGAATAAAACACTGCATCAAAAATCTTTGATATTTTCTTTATGGAACAAAAAAAAAAAAAAAAAAAAAAAAAACACTAAGAGAAAAATCAATGTTTGTTTTTCGTAATTAATATTTGAATGTGTAGTCATTCTTTTCGGACACCTTATATTTCACGTTAGCTAACCCATTTTTCATATGTTTTGGAGCTATACCATCACTTCAGCGTTTTGTTAATTCTCACCAGGATATAAATAAGAGTATTTAAGATGGAGTTCTCAAAGGTTCAGAGACAAAGCGTTTGGTAAGTCAGGCCAGCTTGAAGTACAATGTACACCTAATGTTTTATCATAGGTAATAAGAATATAGTCCTATTGTACTAAATATTTAGACCTCAATACAACTCTACCTGAGAAGTAGAGAAAAATAGCCTCTGTTTTTTCCTAATTGTTTCGTTTTTACTGAATAGTTGATATATTATTTGATAGTGGCTTTGAACTTTATTTAATGCTTACTGGTCAACGAGCAATTGATAGGGAAGTGATTTAGATCAACCCTTTTCCCACATACGCCAAGTATCTGAGGGTACAAAATTTCTCTTCTGGAAAATGTAGAAAAGGGGACGACCTGTTAGCTACCAGTTGATATAAGTTCCGAAAAAGACGTCCTCTAGTCTCCGTTTTGCCATTCTTCTTCCCGCGACTTTTTCGCAAATATTTAAGTTTTCAACTGAGATGAGATTTCGGGCAAGTCAAACCTAAAATGTTTCTTTCAGCGCAAGTTATTGTCGACATTGTTGCTTCATCCGCATGTTCATTTCCAAATATTCCTACATTTAGACTAGAAGAGAAACACGCTAATGTGACAATCAAAATCGTAAAAAACAACCTTATATTTAGCGTAGGTATAATGAAATACTCAATCGATTTCGAGGGCAGCTAAAGGTCCCTCCTCATCAGGAGAAAGAAATACATAGAAAGAAGAAAATAGGAATCACAGAAACACGTGGTGCTTATCAGCACTGCACGTGGTTATAACTAGATTTTTAATCAGAGTTGCACTGGCCGCCTACTTTTACTGAGCCAGGCTGTCTGATCAAGCATAAAGGAATATTAATATTAATTATTCCTTAATATTCCTTTATGCTTAATATTAATTATTCCTTAATATTCCTTTATGCTTAATATTAATTATTCCTTAATATTCCTTTATGCTTAATATTCCTTTATGCTTGATCAGACAGCCTGGCTCAGTAAAAGTAGGCGGCCAGTGCAACTCTGATTAAAAATCTAGTTATAACCACGTGCAGTGCTGATAAGCACCACGTGTTTCTGTGATTCCTATTTTCTTCTTTCTATGTATTTCTTTCTCCTGATGAGGAGGGACCTTTAGCTGCCCTCGAAATCGATTGAGTATTTCATTATACCTACGCTAAATATAAGGTTGTTTTTTACGATTTTGATTCCTACATTTGCTTTTACCCAAGTTATTTTGGGGCGAATATCTGGGTCAGATCCTATGATATCAAAACTCTTTGTATTAATGATGACTTATATTTTAAGATTTTTCAATGCTAGTATTTCAGACTGAGAGTCTGCGTATATTTTTAGTCCAAAAGGGACTTGAGTCCCGAAGGACTATTACTTTCGTTTTGGCATTTTGCGTCGGACGGATAAATGTCGGTTCACTTTTCAAACTGTTGCCATAAAATGTTAGAGTCCTGCATTATATTTGAAGAAATTAAATCATGAAAATCTGCGTAAATGTATGTATATTTCTCACATTGTCATAAAATAACGGTACATAGAGTCATCGAATTTTGAATAACGTAATCCTCCAACGAATATGAGCATGTGGAAGACCAAATTTGAAATTTGAAATTTGTTTTATGATCGATTTCCTATTTTTTAAAACTTTGACGAATTTTTGATTAACAAACTCAAGGATTTCAAAGCGAGCAATGGCAACGTTGTGCAGAAAAAACATTTTTATCTCCAGCGCGAGAGTCTCTGTATCGGAAATTCTAAAGATATGCTCGTTTTAAAACTATTTGCGATATTGCTGTTGCACTGGATCTTATGGTTTTAAGTGCGAGGAACATGATATTTAATAATGAAAGGTAACACACAAAATGTTAAAAAACGCCCCTTTGGACGTAATTTAAAATCTGAAACATTTCACTTTTTTTTTTTTTTTTTTTTTTTATATGTTTTAGATTATTTTTAGTGTAGTATGTAAGGGCCATCTTTATTGCAGAGAGTTCAACTTCAGATGTACTGTTTTCATTTTAAAACAAATTTACTTTTAGAATTACTTTATTTTTAGGTACTTTTAGAATAGCATAAGCATATCCTGCATTTGCTTCCAATTTGGAGCCACCTTTGTAAGTACACGAATGTGATTATTTAGACTTTGTGCCCAGCCGTACAGCCATGCCTAGAAATCACAAGAGAAAAATTGCACTAAAAGCACAGTCCCAATCGAAAAGCCCACGACAATTGAAGAAACACTTAGTCCACGAAAAGATCACAAAAGCATGTCCTTTATGCTCGGCATCTGCATTTGGAGCCCATTTTCTAACTGAATGATATGGAACAAGGCACGCAAAACAGCATTTCTAATCCTTTACTATCTTCTGTCTGCCACCCCACAAGGATAAATAGTCCTGGCCACCCCAGACGGGAAAGCGTTTAACTGCTGTGACGAAGGGCCCGCTTCCAAATCTCGGAGAACGCATGGATGTAAATTTTCTGTCCCGTGTCTATAATGGTTAGTGCCCGCCAATGAAAAAAAACTACCTTCTGCCTCTCTTCTAGTGTCAGCTTTAGAGCGCTGAAACAATCAGCACTGGAACGCTTACCATTGCAAAATATGCATCTTGATTTCATTCTCTCAGCTTTTTCAGTGGCTGTCAGCAACATGAATACCGTAGGAATTTTGCCTCTTTGAGTTTCCAAATTCTGTTTCTTTTTACTAGGCACCTCTGTATCTTTATTTTTAGTTAAAATAAAACCTGAAATTATCAATGATATCTTTTCCTCTCCCTTTATTTCGCCCTTGAGGAATGAAAGCAAGTTGTTTATATGTTCCTTCGCATCTTTTACAGAACTAAAAGATGGGATCCTATTTCAGGCTTTTAGAAAGTCCTCATCAAAGCATGATTCCACCATTGTGTAAGGAACTCAACATTTGTCCGTTGAAATTTCTAGTGTTTCTTTCAAGAGCCCCGAGAAATAAGTTTGTCATAGAGGTATATCAGTGATTTTTTTTTTTTTCTTTTTTTTTTTTTTTTTTTTTTTTTGTATTTTACACAGATTATTAATTTCCTAATACGTACTTCATACAAAATGTCTTTTATAGCGAAACGAACCTTTAAACTATCTAATGCCTTCGAATAATTCTCTGTGGTTGGTGGAAAACTTTCAAATACCCCTCTTGCTCTAGAATCAATGACAGTTACGTGTACCAAATATTGGATTTTCTTTTCAAAAGCAAAACCATCATCTCTATCAGTATGTTCAGGTTGGCTCCAAAAGGGTTGGCAGTCTTTTAAATTATCGCTAAACTGTTTAAAACTACCAGTTTCTGAATTTGGCTGAGAAATTTTCTACCTGGGGTTTTAGCTTACGCTTGTGCTTTCGGCAGTTCCGCTTCATTGTTTAGTTTAATTCTTCTAATTCAAATTCTTGAATATGTTTCTTTTTCTCCACCTCAAACTCTTGATCTTATTTCTTAATTTCACCATCAACAATATTCTACAAAATTTCTTTAACAAAATCTGGGTTACTTTTATACTGCAAACGGAAAGTATATATTTATAAACGGAAGCTAAGTGTAAGATGCAGTACAAAATTTCATCGAATATTTCGCTACTAAACTATTATCTTTGAGCCTCCGACTACATAGAGGCTGTAACGAAAAAAATTTTTAACAAAGAAACATAAAAGATTCTCAATTAAATGTGTTTTTATTTGCAGCATGCAGTGGTTCATCACATCTGCTTTTGAACATTTGTATTTTGCACTTTATTTGCATAGATCTTGTACTAAGCATTGACCTCAGATCTTTTCTTTTTTTTTTTTTTTTTTTTTTTTGGTAATATATTATTTTTTCTCTATTTTAAACCTTGCTTTTTGTAAAATAAATTGCATCAAAACATTCCGTGTACTAAAATAATTTGTTCAAAAAGTGCTAATCAGTAACTGACATAAGTTGGACACTAAATTTTTGTTGAAATGCTTTTGAAAACAGTGTTCCTTAAAACTTTTTCTTTTAAATGAAAATATATCACAAGGTTTATTATCCGCATTTGGAAATTTTTACGCCTTTAGTTTGCTAAAGGTACAAAGAAAAAAAAAAAAAAAAAAAAAAAAGGCTGAAAGTTTTCAGATTTTATATTACGCCAAAAGGAGTAACTTTTTTTAACGTTCTGTGTGTTACCTATACTTATTAAATAGCATATTCTTCGCACTTAAACCACATAAAATTCAATTCAACAGAAATATCATAAAATATTTAAAAACAGCATATTTTAGAACTTCCGATAGATAGCCTCGCACGCCAGAGATATTTTTTTTTTCGTACAGTGTTTTCATTGCTCGCTTTGAAATCGTTGCGTTTGATAATAAAAAATTCATTTAAGTTTTACAAAATCTGTAATAGTTAATAAAACAAATTCGAAATTAAAAATTCGGGCTTCCAGGTGCCCGTTCAGGTGAAGATTTGCGTAATTCAAAATTTGGTGGCTGTAGGTGCCGTTGTTTTTTTGCAGTGCAAAAAACATACATATGTTCGTGCAGATTCTTCATTATTTAATTTCTATAAACATAATACAGGGTGATAATATTTGGTGGCAACATTTTGAAAAATGATTCATACTTTTAGAGTGATTCAACGCAATATACCGTTTCGAAACTAATAGCACTACTTTGGGTAATAATACACTGTGGGCCATTAAAATTGCAAGACCAGGAAGGAATGATCTGACGAACGTCAAAATCACATGAAACGAAGAAGAGGGTTGGATATGCAAATGATTTCAGCCAATTTAGACGACGGCAGGAGGGAGAAACGACATCTGAAAATCTGTATAAAAGAAAAGCTGTGTAGTGAATTTCTCATTCGGAAAGCACTTTGTAAGGTCGGCGTTTGCTCAGAATATCGTACTATGTCTCGAATAATAAGAAGAAATGCTTACCAGCAAGTGTCGGAATGCGATAGAGTTAGGATCGTTGCCTATTGAGAGTGTGGATTATCGTCCCGTGATATCTCCCGTCGCACTGGTCACCATCCAACCACTGTCATGTGAATATGGAAACCATGGTTTGCTGAGGGTCATATTGAACGGTATGCTGGATCTCAACGTCCTCCTATGACTAACGCCCGAGAGTACAGACATATTGTGAGGTCATCCCTGCAAAACACATCACGGACCATTAGTCAAGAAATGGGCATGCTTGCAGCACGCCTAGTATCGCGTTTGCAGCACGCGTGGGCTATCAACACGACGACCATTACTTCGGCTTCCCTTGACAATGCAGCATAAAGAGAGACGGCGACTCTGGTGCTCCAGACAACAACGCTGGGTACAGGAGAAGCACAATGTCGCCTTTTCAAATGAGTCCCAGTTCTACGTGGAATATTCTGATGACCGTATACGTGTCTGGCGTGGCCGAGGAGACCGCACAGTTGTAGCCAGAGTTTTGGACGTAGTGTCACTGGACCAGTTATGCTGAGAGGATCAAAAACTTTGTGCGAAACAGCTAAAATATTTCTTTTGGTGATTACTACATTCGTTACTTCTTTCACATCAGGGATGTTTATGGAAAAAGTATCAATATGTCTGTCCCACATCATTCCTAGGACGTTTGTTGGACTTGCAATAGATTCAGATGGGTTAGTGTACTTCCCTCCTCGTAAATCAAATTTTCTTTCAGCCATAATTTCAGTCGCAAGTTCAAAAAGTTGCTTTAGGTGTGATTCAGTTTTAACCCTAGTCAAGCAATTATAACCACATAAAAGCTGACCATCAGGCTGTCGGATATCTAGAGAATATCCTTCATTTTTTTTTTGGCTTCTTTTAGTTTCCTTTCTAAATGGTATCGGATAGTTGATACAAGCAAGAACAGACTACAAGAAACACCAAAAACAACTCCGCGATGACGATAATGTTTCAGCTTCATTGTACCACAGAAATCGGAGGAAATCTCTCTCTTTTTATAGACTTATTTCCAAAGACGCTTTGCATATATCACCTGTTATGCCAAATTTATACAAGCGAAACCTCGTTAATATGGAAGGAATTAATTTTATCAAATTGAGTCCCTTTTTAACACAATCATTGAGATTAGAATTTCCTTTTTCTTTAGAAGAAGCATTAAACACAGGTCTAATCTTAGTCGTACTCCTCGCCTTCACCACATGCCAATGGGGCAAATAGTGACAAGATGACTTAATTTCTTCTTTAGGAACCTCTTCGATGATGCCTTCTCGCTCCCATTCTTTGAACACTTCTCCATACTCTTCATATAAATTCTCAGTTTTAAGCTTACGGGTGGTCACTTCTAACCCTTTTAGTGCCAGGTTAAAATTGTCTGGCAAAGGTAAATGAACGTCAGGCCATGGTAAACCAACAAGAAAACGTTGATCTTCATCAACTTTGACAGTTCTTAAAAATGTTCCATAGAAGCCTCATGAAGTTTTTCTTTAGTTATTTGTTCTGAAGGATCTTATATCCCTAAAGAATACAATTTCGACATTTCAGAAATATCCATTTCTTTCACAAAAAGGGAAGTTATGAGTATAGCATTGGTTTACGATATCTCTTTATCAGGTAATTTTCCTGATAAGGTCCAACCAAGTGAAGTTTCCATTTATACAAGTCTACAAGTCAATATTTTACGCTGACCTGTCATAAGTTCTCCTAACACGTCAGCTCCAATGAGTACTTGAACAGATTGTGACTCTTTACCCACGTCTGACAATGCTATCTTCCTTTCTTAAAAATTTTTGATTCATGGACCTGAACTAACAGGTGGAATATTATCACATATTGTGGGCTGGTCTAAAGCTTCCATGTTTCAAGTTATATTACTTTGTAGATTCCTTAGTCTGATTCTTCAACATGTGTGTTCACATTTTTCAGAATCGATTCCTCCAAATAAAAAGAGTTTCTTTTTCTCACGGAACTATATCCTCTTTCTTCCTCTAGATTTTTCAATATATATGTTTTTTTGGGACCCTGAATCTAGGATTTCTCTAATAAGTACTTTAGGCAGATAGCCCTAGTGTGCTTTGCCATAATTAAATACACCTCTACACCACCTAATAGGTATTTCCCTATTATCTGACACTAGTTTTAGTTTTGTAGTTTGAAGGAATACCTTTGGGCCATAAGTGATGTTAGATATGCTAATTTCAGAACTTGCACATTTTTCATCACTCTTGTCCGATTTCTTGTTTCGAGCATCCACAGCAGTGATGACGAACCTATGGCACGCGTGCCATAGTTTGCCAACTATATTTCACAAATGAAATATAATTGGCACACAGAGCTTCATCAGCCAGCACGCTACTAAAATATTACTTCCTTAATCAATACTCACAGTAAAATGATACTGTGTAATTTAAGTAAGTGTTTTGGTCTGTTCTTGAACATTTCGCTTACTTACTTATCGCATAATACCACTGGCATCGGGCCCAAGCCTAGATGTAAGATTTTCATATGTAAATAATGTTAGCTCTTTTTAGCATATGATCGATTTAGATTTAATGCTTCATTATTAAATTTTGTGCTTTTCTATACTCCAGATCTTGAACCCTCACAAACGACTTCAGCAAAAAAGGCAAAAATTAAACATTGATAGTGGAAGATCATTTCAAGCGACCTGTACAGAATCATTTGGGATTACTGAATACAACAGAAAAGTATTATGCAATCTGTGCTCGGAAAGGGTTGTGTGTCGCATACCTAATATCAGACGGCACTTAAACACCAACCACAAGATTGTTGCCGAACTTAATGAAGCTGAACGGAAGATGTATATTGAAAGGCAACTGAGGAATTATCATTATCAGAAGGTTGGTTTTTGCAATTATCTTTCTAATACAAACCATCCAACAACGGCCAGCTTTCAAACTTCACTGTGCCTTGAAAAACATGGTAAACCGTTTTTCGATGGGGATTTAATCAAAGAGGTTATGTTGTTTAGGAGTAATTCCCTTTTCCATGACTTTCCAAAAGACAAATTTAAACAACGCATCGTTGAAATGCCACTTAACAGAAACACTATTAAAGATCGAATCCTGCGAATGGCAAGTGATACTGGTTTACAAAAGGCACCACTGATTTACAAAAGGCAGCTTATACTCAATGTGCTTAGATGAAAGCATAGATATAAATAACCATGCAAGGCTAGCAGTAATTCTGCGTTATGTTGTTGATGATACGATGAGAGAAGAGCTGATTAAATTGGCATCTTTGCCCAAAAGGGATAGATATTTACAATGCTGCGATGGAAGCTTTTTTGCAACAAGACATTAAGACCAGAAAAAGTAGTTTCAATTACTAGTGATGGTGCGCCTTGCATGTTGGGAACAACATTTGGTTTCATACAGTTCTTTATTATAGAAGCAAAGCACCCAGTTATTTAGTGTCTTTGTCTCATTTACCAAGAAGCTCTTTGTGTCAAGGAGAGCTGCAAAATATTAGACAATGTTCACAAAAATGTCACCAAAAAGATGAATTACATCATGATTGGAGCTCTTCAATTGTCTACAGTTTCACTTCTTGATGAGGTTCAAGCACAGTATAACACTTTGCTTATGTTCCATTATTGTGATCTTTTGAGGCAATGTCGCACCAGTTTCTTCTGTGACATACAACAAGTCCTCTTTCTTAAATCCTTTTGCTGCCTGAAATATTGTTTATAATCAGAAGTAACGTCTTGACACGATACACCAGAAAATGTAAAGAACAACTGCAAACAAAACGTTACGGACGTCTTTCAAATCACTCAAATGAACTGCAAGTTCTCCAGATGAATGAAACAACTGTTTATTCAGTTAAAATGCAGCCTTAAATTTTCATTGCTAACATAAACAACATAATAAGCAGAGAACACTGCGTTCGAAACATTACGTAAAAACGAAAGCATATTTTCTGTAAGCAATAATGATTGTTGCCATTCAGCAAACGAGAAAAGTAATAGCAAAAACATATGTTGAAAATCATAGGTGAAGTAGTAGATAAGTTTAAATAACGATATTAATTATTGTACAATCTTTAATAAATTGCACTTTAAGGATGTATACATTCGTACTTCATTGGTATTTCATGATCATTTTTCGCATTTATTTCATCTTCTCTAATTTACTTAGGCCCATAATTAATTCTTAATACAATCTGTGCCTTATTTTTTTCTTTTTCTCTAAACCACTTTTTTTATTTGGCCTTAAAAAATTCGTATCAAATGCTGTGAATTTTTCTCTCAAATAAATTGTCCGCTTTCCTTTCTGCCTTAACTTCTAACGTATAGGTTTATTTATTTATTTATTTATTTATTTTCTTTGCGAACAGAAAGACTTAGCGGGTGCAAAACAAGGCATTTATTATTTCAAATCACTGATGGTGTGAAGTCTTTATGTTTCGTGTTTCAAATACATATATTGCATGATGAAAATTAATGCGAATACCTGCATAGTAGGTTCTAAAGTCATTTTGGTTCCATATAAGGAAGAGCACGTAGAAAAGTTTGTATACTAAATATTTAACATTTTTTTTTTATGTGTTTTTGATTTCGTTGTAATTTATTAAGTTTTCAAAGAGCATACTGTTTCTTTAACTGTGTGCATATGATATCACAGAATAATTCAGATCTTCTCAATTTGAGCAATGAAAATTTTACTGTGTTTCAACTAAAGAGACTTGCAGAAATTCTCAAATTCAAAATTAATAAACAACCCAAAAGGAGCAACAGATATCGCTACCGGTATTGAAGAATGTGTCAAAGAGGTTACTGAGAACAAAAAATTTTAACTTAAACAACTTACACTGAAAAAAATGCAATAATAATTATAAGACAAAAAAATAATGAGCTTTTATTGTAAATTTTGGTTCCCTTAAGATCATGAATGCTTCATTGGTTCATAAGCAACTATTTCATATTTTAATTTTATAATTTCTACATATCATCTTTCTAGATTTGAATTGATAATCTAAAATCCGGAATCACTGAAGCCCAGACAAATCTGGATATCGAAATTTGTACTATATTTGTTTTAAGAAACCATACATTATTTTTTTAAGGAATTAAATGCATGTTTCCTTGGAAAATTTATGCACTTGGAATTATTAGGAATGGTTGTGATAACTCTAGAAAAAGCAAGTCTGCCATAAATCTATTTTTGTTCTGATTAGCTTGAAGTTTCTTTTGCCAAAAAACGTCATTATGTGTGTTTGCTTTGAATTGTCTTGCATGTTGTTTCATCTTTAAACACTTGCCTTCTAGCAAAACACATTTTTATTTTCAACTGTAAGGTCCTACAGGGAAAAGAGTAGCATTTTTTTATCTTATCTAGCCTGATACACAATAAGTGAAGCCCAAAGGCCAAAGTTTCATTAGAGTATAATGTTGCAGATACTAATTTTCGTTTGTATGAAATTTTTCGATTAGTAGAAAATACGAAAAAGTGCTAAGTGAAGATGTTATACCTGAAGTCTTTATTGCAGTGAGAGGATAATGAACAGAAAACAAAATCTGTAACAATGCTTTAAATCCAGAAAGTATCAACACCATCAGTGAAGAAAGAGATTGATAAATTGATTTTTAAAGAGGATGCTGAATACTGCAATGATGCGACTTTGTAATTGAACCAGAAATTTTCTCCCTCTATAAAATTATAAAAAAGTATTCACAGTAAAAAATAAATTGCTTTAACAGTTTAAATTGAAAGAAATGCTTAACAAAACAAAATAAGTGCTAGCAGTAAGCCTTTTTTTTTTTTTTTTTGTTGTTGTTGTTAATTTTTTTTTTTTTAAGGTCATATTATTTCACAAATAACCATTTCATATTTTTAATTTTATAAGTCATCTTACTAGAGTTCATGATGTAAGTTCCAGAATTGCCAAAGTTCCCTCAATTCTTTAACTCGGATGTTGTATGGTATTAGAAATTTTATATGTAGTTTACCTGCTTAAACTGTTTCTACAAAATTCCAAGATTTATTTTTATTTCATATTTTAATATGGAATTAAATTATTTGTTTCCTTTTATCTCCTGTGAATGGGCATTTTACTTCTTTCGTATTCCAGATCTCTGCAGAAAAAAATACAAACTTACATTTTTCATCTTTGAGCTTTTCACCATTTACGTTATTTTTATTATTATTATTACACTTTGATTTTAGCGAAAAGGCCGAGAAGCGATAATTATTATTATTGTAATTGTTTTAATAATCTATTTTTAAAGAGTTTACAAGGAAATGAGTAACTTTTCTGGCAGTAATTTGTAAAATTTATTCTTGCTTTCATTCAAAGTCTTTTTGGCTTACTTATGATAAACAAGCAAATTTATTTAACTATTTATTATAGGCCAGCAAGTTTAATTTATTTGTTATGGGCAAGCATAAAAAGACAAAGCACTCAAAACTTAAGTGAAATTATAAAAAAATTAGAAACAAATTTAACTAACATTGCTTATATTTGTGAGGTCATTTTTGTATAATTTTTCATATGACTTATAAAGCACCTTAAAAGTTGTGAGTGGCTGTCTTCTGAAATAGGTACTATTTAACTACACTGTTGTTATATGTGCATTACATCAGTTTTCTTTTAAAAGTAGAATTAAAAATAATTAAATTTATGTACAGTTTTTATAGTAAAAATTAGTTAATCTTTCGAAGTGCATATTATTATAAGTAATATTTATCTCCATTTAGATATCATTCATGGATGCAAAATGAAGAACTTCTGGAATTAACAGCATCAGAGCCTCTAACATTAGAAGAAGAGTACTTAATGCAAAAATCTTGGTTTGAAGATAGTGATAGTATGTTTTACATTTTCTTATTGACTTTAATGAAATTTTTAAAACACTTCATACATGGATATATGTTCATGATATTATATCTGTTTACAGAATGTACCTTCATAGTTTTGGATAAAGACATTTTAGAAAATACTGGCAATGAAACTGGTGAGTATATAAGTTATTTCAAAAAGTAGAATTTTTATGAAAGCGATAGTCATATCTATTTCTTGTCTTCATTATTTTTTTAAAGTGTAGTTCAATGAAACCTCAAATTCATAATGATTATGTAAATGTTATCATTCCAGATTGAGATATATTTCTTTGAAGAATTAAGCAGTGCAAAAGCTACTGACAAATTTTTCCACACATATCAAATAAAATGACAACCTCAGGATTTTCCCACTATTTTCAGTTTTTTAAATTATTGTTCAAATATTTTTATATAGCTTCATTTAGGAGGATGGAAATAGTTTTTTCAAAATCTCAGATAGGCAGTGATTTTCTACCTATTTTATTCAAGATGAATTGTGCAAAATTTTAACAAGCTCAAACAAAATTGAAGAACAATGTAGTACTAACACAGTAGGGTGTAATGGTTTTAGTAAGAATTGCTAATTGCTTTGTTATCCCCCCCACACACACACGTGCGCAAATGAGCTTTTGGAACGTCACCATTCCCTTTGGCCAGTTTCTTCAGTTTTTTATAGTGATAAAGTTACATTCTAAAGGTTCTACACTATTCTAAAAGGTTTCATTCTGTTTTAAAGAGTAAATGAACATGTCATCATCTAGCAGTTTTAGTAAGAAATGATATTAGAAATAGAATAATGATGATTTCAAAATTAAAACTGAAAAATATTAATATTGATTTAGCATGCATAAATTCCACTAATAAAGGAAAAATGCAATGACGACGACGGGAACCTAAGATGGATGACATCAGCCCAGTATTCTGATATAAACATTGTGAGGTTGTTTTTTGAAATCTTATGTAGACAGGGACTATCCTTTTGTTTTAAAGGTCAAGTATGCAAAATTTCATCAAGATTGGAATAAAACTAGATTTGTATGAATTACCACACACAAGCAAACAAAACAGACACTTTTCTTTATATATACATTGGAGCTTCAAGGTACGAGCACTTCTATATTCGAGATATGAGGAAAGTATGAGTGAAACATTTTTCTCTAAATACGAGCAATGAGCCAGGCTGTTAGTATGCGTGGCGTCATTTCCCGATCCAGTTCGACTCGGGGAATCCTCTCGTCAGATAACTCAGATAATAAGTGTTCTTTGATCTATGTGTTTGTGGTGTAAGAGTAATGGAATTGGCGAAGACTTACGGCACGACTTACGTTTTTCGATGTCGACAGTCTTTACTATTCTGAAGAAGAAGGAAGAAATTAAGAAACTTGAAGTAGGCAAAGGAGTTACCATTACATCTAAACACTGTCGAAAACTCCTAGAAGCTGTTGTTGGTTTTCATTAACTAGAAACAGTTAAAGTTGGTGTCAGAAGCTATCATAAAAGTAAATTGCAGTTATATTATTTACCAGTGTTTATTAGAAAAATTGATTTTTATGTTGATATTTTTGGAGGTGCAGAACGGATTGACTGAATTTCCATTATTTTCAATGGGGAAGTTTGTTTCTAGATACGAGAAATTCACTATACAAGCTCAATGCTGGAACGAATTAAATCCGTTTCTCAAGGTTCCACTGTAGATGGATAGATGATTTTAATGACCCATTGTATGGGTCCAGTTAACAATTAATAATCATTGAAATAAATTTCTGTTTGTTGCTTTTAAATTGTTCAGTTTGTTAATAAATAACAGAATAAATTTGAAAGAAAAATTATATCTTCTACTTTGCTGGAGGATAAACACTGCCTTATTTAAGTGACAAAATTAAATTTTATGACTAAATTTAATTTAAGTGACAAATATATAGCAAGTGGTAATGCATTTCTTTTTTATCTTCGAGTTTTATGATTAAATTTGGAACATTAATATCATACATTTTGCAGAATGGTAACACTAAGTTTTACTACTGACCAATGACAAACATCCTTACCACTTTATATTATAGATATCTGAAAATTTTTAATATTACCTTCATGAGAATTATTACAGAAAAGTAATGTATATGTGTGTAATGCAGTATCGACCTTCTTGAAAACTTCAAACACTAAGTTTTTAAGCAGCATTCAGTCACCATCCCATATCTGTCAATAACTAAAAAAGTGTTGAATTATCCTTTTCTGGATTTAAAAAGGAATAGCAGAGCAACACATGCTGGCTTAAAAAAGAAAATTAATGTTGTGCTGCATAATGTATTAAAAGTCTACTTAAAATGAAGTCTTGATGTCGTACAAATGGCACCGATAACATTTTCACACATTTTTATAAAATATAGAGTCATTAAAAAAATCTACTTTCTATATAATTTGTGTGAAATAACCGGAACAGATTTTTCTGAAACAGAAAAGGGAAAAGAACGAAAGAGTGAGACTAAAAGTTGATGGATTATTAAAATTTTATAGCATCTTTAATGTATTTTTCAAGTTGTATATTATTCATTTATAAGTACAACAGAATTATTTTTATGCTCCTTAGTGCCAATAAGATTTTTTATAAAATATCTGCTGTTTTGAGCCCTTTTATTTTATAAATTACAATCAAACTTGGGATATGAGTAACTGAGCTTTCGTTCCTATACAATTTCCTGTGTATGTAATGTTTTGTATGGCTACATTAACTGTTAACATGTGAAACTCAGATATACTGAACTTTATCAAGACTAACTATTCAACTGAATATATTTTTTTTATTTTTGTAATTTTTATGTAGATATTTATTTTCTTTCTCCTTTTTTTTTAATTTCTAATAATTTCAACAAAAAAATTAACAAACTTCTTTAATATCATCCGTGTTTATAGTATTTGGATAACGAGCCCTACACTGCTATATGTGATCTTTGAATTACCATTTTTGGCATAACAAGATGATGAAAAGCAATATTGTATATGTGCAAATGTTTTTATTGTTATTGTGGTAATATTTTTTTATCCTAGAAGCATTTGGCCTATGTTTATTTACTGGTGGTAGTGTAGTATGCAGCTGTCCAGTGTTCTGTCTAGTAAAAGACACTGGTACAGATATTGTATATTACTTTTAAGTGATAAGCAAGAGGGAAAAAATAAAGGTGCATAAGAAATTATTCCATCAGACATATTATGTTTGAGTATCATCTAGTACACAGTGCTACAGAAGAATATCAAATGATATGTGGCATCAGAAGAGAACAGTTTTCCTGATTTATGTGTAGTTTGGCTTAATATTTCATTATTTGCACCAAAAATATAATTTCTAGTGCAGTGTGTAAAGTAAAGACATTTCATCAGTGTAATATCACAAATTATGCCAGTATTTCTCACTGTATGATACTGTTAGCTTGCTGTTGTGATCAGATTTTATATTACGCCTAAAGGAGCATTTTTTAACTTTTTGTGTGTTACCTTTATTTATTAAATATCATGTTCTTTACACTTAAAACATAAAATTCAATTCAATAACAATATCACAAAAATATTTAAAAGAGCATATCTTTATTCATTTTAGCATTTCTGATCCACAGTCTTGCGTGCTGGAGATAAAAATGTTTTTTTCCCCGGTACAGTGTTGCCATTGCTCGCTTTGAAATCATTGATTTTCTTAATCAAAAACTCATAAATGCCGTACAAAATATGAAGTAGATAATAAAACAAATTCCAGATTTGGTTTTCCAGATGCCCATATTCGGATGGAGACATACATTATTCAAAATTGTATGGCTCTATGTACCATTGTTTTATCACAAGGCGAGAAACATACATACATTTATGCAGATTCTTCATTGTTTAATTTCTTTAAATATAATGCAGGGTTCTAATATTTAGTGGTAACAATTAAAAGTGATTCCCCATTTATAGTGAATCAACACAAAATGCCAAAACGAAATTAGTAGTCCTTCTGGGCAAATTGCCCCTTAGGACTAATAAGATCAAATTAATTGCATGTACTATAATGTAGCTGTAAATGTCAGAGTTTAGAAGTTACACAAGGCAATCATGTATCCCCTTTTTCTCCCCAATGTGATATTTTATTAAATTCATTGCTGATTACTGTATTTATGGGCTTCCTATTCTAGTCTAGGCTACAAAAGAGGAATTTAAGGCATTATGACTGATGTGCTTCTTACCAGTATGTATCCAAACATAGAACAGCTATGCAAGAATCAATAGACTCGTCCATCTCATTAAAATAAGGACCCACATTTATTTAATTTGGCATCCGCCAACTCTCCTATCTGAATGAACATGTTTGTCTATAGCATGTCTAGATCCATTGTTGTAATATTTAGCAAATGACTGTTATAACAAAGGTCCATTGCAAGCATATTGCAGTTCTTAATTTTAAACTATTATTAACCTTTTTACTATTATTATTATCATTTTAAAAATTTCTGCATTTTATATTCCAACCTAGTATACATTTATCCTCCAGATCAATTAGCATCATTATTCAACTACTGACTTTGATACCCTTTTTGAATACTCACTGATATAAAACAGGAGATCTTTTAACAATGTTAATTAAAAATTAACAGTTTAAATCCAAGCAGAATTTAACTCAATTCTTTATTCAATAGCATATAGGCCTTCCTTTAATTGTTGGTAATATTAAGATGATACCAGATTTCTTTATGAGAGAAAATCAGAACTATTCAAAAAGTAAATGCAAACTCAATTGAAATCACTCTGTTGTATAATTCCAAATAATTTGTGTGTGGTTCTTTTGACTCTCTTCATCCATATAGTGGTGCCTTCCAACAAAGTGCCTGTAAGTGTGAAAGTGAGGTGTAAATACTTAAGCTTTTTGAAATACGTACTAGAAATTTCAGTTATAAATCAGGAAAAGTAAGAGATCCATTATTAAATGCAAATCAAAACTTTCAAGTAACTTCAAAAAAATGTAAGGGACTCTCTTAAACTAATTAGTTCTATAAATTTTTTACCTACATATATTTCAATAATGTGTATAATTGCAAATGTTTAATGGTTATTTATTACTAATTTCAGTTTTTAAAGAGGAAATCAGTGTAAATACTTTTATTATTTGAACCAGAACTAAAATATTGAATTATTGCATAAAAATATTAATACTCTTAAAAATATACTAAATTTTGAATTCATCATGAAATTGGATTAAATTTGAATACAATTATTAGCCCATAAATTTTCAATGACTCATTATTTTGTTTAGATTCCATGATTGGAGACGTAAACTTGTATTTCAATGATCAAGAAGATCCTAGAGCTGCTGAAATTGAAGTGATGATAGCTGGTATATGTAACATGATTTCATTTTAATTTTTTTTCTTTTCTTTATTTCTATATTTATTCTTAACATATTTTTGTACCTTAAAATTCTGGTTTTATATATATATAGTGCAACTCCAATTATCCAAATTCCAACTATACGAATTGCTTTCAGAATTTAAGAGAAAACTTAAGATGGAAATGTACTACAATTTGCAAAGTAATGATTCTGTTTATGCGCGCTTCTCTCCACGAAGTAAGTATGAACATTATTGGGATGATGAGTCACCATCTCATAATTCAGTTCTATTATTGGCTACAGTATTGTCGGCTGTCACCAGGTGACATGCCCGGCCCACCCGTTACTGTTTGTTTTGAGTACTAGTCAGTCAGTGAGTCGTTGACCTGCTACAGTACTGTGATGGTGCTCTTTCATGTCGGTGCATTTCATTTTTCAACATACCTTCTAAAAGAAAACGTGTTGTATTATCGCTAGCGAATAAACTAAAAATTATAGAGCAATCAGATAAATGAGTTATAGATAAACAGTTGGCTGAGATGTACGGTGTTGGACAATCAACAATTTCAGACATTAAAAGGAGCAAATGAAGTGTGATTTATGAGACCCTGGGTTTCAAATTCTAAATGATGATGAACTTATTGAAAGTGTGAGAGAAGAAAGTGTTGAGGAAAAAGAAGACCTTAATGTCAAAGTTGAAGTGGACACTGGACCATCAGCTAGTGAAGGGTTTGCTTGCCTTGAAACTGCATTGAAGTGGATGGAGCATCAGCCTGAGTGTGATCACGTGCAACTTCTCATTGTCTAGCGGATGTGCGACTTAACTGCCCGAAAATGGATGAAGACAGTCAGCTTACTTTGATCGAGATGTTCAGCAAGCAATGACTTTCAGCTCTTGTAATTATTGTACAGTATGCTATATAACATGTAGGTAAAGTGTTGCCTTTTTAATTAATTAAAACTTCTTTTCTGTAAAAATAGTTTTTTCTCCCATTTTCAACATACAGTTGAAATTATTCAATGTACAGTAATTAATTAACGTGTACATAGACCCTTCGGGAAAAATCCATTTATCCGAATTTTTGATTATCCAAATGGGTCCAGTTGCAATTGATTCAGATAATTGGAATTCTGCTGTATATTGCTTTTTAAGCATATATTTTTTATAATACACATTTACAAATTACAAATTAAATATTTTATTTTAGATCCTATTCATCGATCCAAAGGTAAAGGTAAAGAAGCATTACTTTTCATGTTACGTTATGGTAAGTAATGCAGTGTTATGTACAATAATTTAAGACTTTGAGTTTTTTCCTTCTTAGAGAGTTACTCTAGAATGTAAAATTTTCTGAAAAATTTGAAGAATATGAATGAGTTTAGAAAAATTCAAGCTTTACTTTTAATTTTGGGTGCATGATAATTGATGAAAACTGTGAATATTGAATTTTTAGTATAAGAAATAAGCAACAAAACACTAAATAAGAATTGACAAGTAAAACAAAAAAGGAACCCTTAGCAAAAGAAAGGTAACTAATTGATACTAGAAACACATAAAATTATATGGTGGAATTATAATTGTTAAAATAATTAACTAAGGTGCCAAATGCATAAATTTTTCATTAAATTATGAAATAAAATTTAAACTTATTTGATGCTTTGTATTTTGTAATAAGGTAGCCTTTGACTTTCACATATTTTTAAAAATTCAAATTTTTAAAGATTTTTCTTTATAATAAAACAGTTTGCTCCCGCATCAAGTGTTTTGCACTCATTCCATCTGTTTTTATCTTGCTCTAATCAGCTGTAGCATTTGTAGCTGTGACAAGAGTAGGGCTGGGGTATGGAGGTGCAACAGACACACATTACTTCCTACAATAACGGTTTTCCTGGAATCATAATCATTACTGTGTTGTTCCAAATAAGACACCAAAACAGTTTCAGTCTTGCATTAGGGCATGTGTTAATGTGTTGTGTTTTGCCTGTTTATTTGTGTATATTTAAATAGTTCATCCTTATAAATTGATAAACATGAGGAGCAAACGGAGGAACTGCAGTGTTGATATGAACAAAAAGAAATTAAAGACTCATAAATGTCATTCCATCGAGAAAAAGATGGAAATAATTAAACGTTCTGAAAACAGTGAATCTTTTACTTCAGTTGAATTTTTTTAAATAACATAATACAATTTTTTTTTTTTTTTTCCCTGAAATAGCCGATGATTTTGCTTGAGACAATGTTTGGTGCAACTTATTAAACATTCTGCAGTAAGGTGTGCATACTCCAATAGCTTTCATAATGTGTCACCTTCTTTCTTCGTTTGAATCAACTTTCCCTGTGAAATCAAACAGTTTCTGTGCTTTTCTTAATACAGTCAAAAGTCGTTAATCCGGACTCGTCGACACTTCGGCGATTCCAGATTATCGGTTTTTCCGGATTATAGATCATCAGTTTAAATCTGGTAAAAAATTATAAAATTAAAAATATGAAACTGTAATTTATGAAATAAAGAGCAATTATGATCTAAAGGGTATCAAAATTTACAAAAAAAAAAAGGTTAATATTTATTTGTTTACCGCATGCATAAAGCATATATTACGCATAGTCAAAATTAGAAAATTGCAACCAGAAAACTATTTGATGTTTATTCGTGATATTTATAATGACGAGGAATTTGATTCAAATCATATCAAAGACGGAGTACATCGAGATGAAAATACTACATTTAGTAAGGAATTATAAGCCGAATAAAATAAAAACATCTGGCCTGAAGATAAGGATAATGCTGACAGATCAACTTCCAGTTCATTGCATGCTGCGATGTTACCCCCCCCCCCCTCCCCAGAGTAGCGTGAAATTGATAAACAGATTTCGGAATGGTTAGAAAAACAAAGGATATGCCTTTATCCATTTTTTGCAGCAATTCCACTTTTTGTTTTGATGGATATCGAAACGTGCTTTCGCTTTGTAGATATATCTTGTGGCAGCTCCAGAATTGGAAATTCTTTTTGACATAATCGAAAGTTCAAGCTTACTTTTATAAAATTGCTCTAACAGTGTGCAAAAAAATAATAAGCCGGATCCAATTAGAAGATTAAGGAACAACGCAATCTGCAACATTAACTGAAAGAGATTAGATAATTTTAGCTTAGCTTATACCATCCGTTATACATTAAACACGCATGCGCAGAAAATTTGTAGCTTTGAGGTCCGGATTATAGATCATTCCGGATTATTGATGTCCAGATTAAAGACTTTTGACTGTAATTCATATCTTCTTCACTATCTCTGGTTTCACTGTCGGCCGGTATTATAAGATCATCCAATTCTGGTCAGCATGCATGTTAGCAAACATTCTCTGTTGATGAATTCATTATCCTCATGGAAGTTTAATCATTTATTTGTTGTATCTTCTGTTGAGTTACTTCCAAAATGCGATTACTGCATCATGCTTTTCTTCATTTAGTTCTTTATTTGCAGAGATATAAAGATGCCTAACATAATAGGCTTTAAATGTTTTTATAGTTCCTTGATCCATTGATTGGATTAAGAAAATGGTGGTTATTGGAAGAAATAAAACCTCTACAATGTTGTGAGGCTTCAGTACCATATCTTGGAGCATTATCAAGAATTGGGAGAACTTTAAAGCTCAAGTTTCATTGTTTGAATTTTTTAATAAATGAATTTTCAAACTAGTCATTAAAAAGGACTATTGCAGTATGGCCAATGCTCTGCAGCATATTGTATGTATAATTGAAATTCTTACTTTGGATAAATTAAATGAAGTTAATCAAGGTAACGCATATACACAAAATCACGTTCTGTAACTTCCCAGTTTGACAAGGGTTTACTGTAATTTTATGCATGTAAAAAATACAATTCATGGTAAAAAGCCAAATAATTGGAAGAAGAAATTTCCGGCCTAAAATCACAAAAACAGTCATCTCATTTGTTGTCGGCTTGAATATCAAAAGCCTACATTTAAAATTAAATAACTTTTTTCTAAAAATGCATTTCAGACATAAAAAGCCAATATATTTTCGTATGTCTTAAACACATGAACATAAAACATCTATTCAAATTATGAAATCCTCTCAACCATGAAAGTTAACATAGATCCTGCCAAATTTGCACCATTCATTTGGGTAGATATTTGAAAGAAGTGATTTTTCTTTATTTAGCTAGATTACCAAGAGATAAAAATATGGATATAGCATATAAAGACTTAAATTGCTTGTATTGCTTGTTGTAATTTTTCACACTGAATAGCTGATGATTACTATTGTTTATTGGTTTTCATATAAAGTTGCTTATCATGCCCATTAATGCACACTTTTCTTGATGTTAGAATCCAATAAATACCACTCGCTGCATGACATCCCATTCAGGGCAGGTCTCAAATTTTAATATTTTTTCCAAAATGTGAGGGAAAATTTATATATAGCAGTTAATTTATACCTTTCTTCACCAAAATTAAATTGGCTTATCAGGAATTGGCAAAAATCTTACTATGATATAGTGACGTGTACCTATCCATTATTGGTGTTAAATCACACTGCTTGGCAACAGCTTTTTTTGTTCTTAGTCCTATATGTATTTTATGATGGCTTTTAAAGTCTCTTGTTTGCTCAATTTTAGTTTAAAAAATTATGATTTTAAAATATTCCGGTTAGTCAGGCTTATTGTAGTTGCCATCAATATTTCAGGCCAGCATTTACATTTGACAATGACTGCTGTCCAATAACAAGGAAGTACAATTTTTTTAAATTTTTATTATTAAAAGAATTAAAAATTTTTGGAGGGTTGTATCAAAATGGCATGTTCAATGGGTTAAAATCAACTTCTGTAAATAGCGTTTGAAAAATATCAACCATATTTTATATGCTTTTTATCTTAATACAATAAATATGTATTTATCTACAGCAAGGATGTCAAACTCGCGGCCCACAACAAATATTTTTGCGGCCCGGCCAATATATTGGCAAATAATAATATATAATAATAAAATAATATATCAACGAAGAAAAAAATGAAATGTTTACTGCTAAGTAATTAACGATAATTTATTCAGTGTTGTTAGATTACTCACAGCGAGCTGACACACACACTACTTAAATTACAAATGCGTGTGAGTAGCTTGCGTTCAGCTACCTTCGGCTTTTGGGGGACACGTGCACTCAGAACTTGTACGCATCCCCCGATAGCCGAATGTGGCCGAACTCATGGTCTCAGTTTTCCAATCATAGTTTTGTACGATATATTGGTGCATGCATGTGCATGCACTTTGCTTTATTATTAATTATTACTTAATTCATATTGTTACGGATTTCATAGTTATTTATTTATTTAGTTTTTTTTTATTTAGAATTGTAATTAGATTTGCTTCATGTTGCCTTAGCAACGCAGACGATTTTTGAAAAGACAGCTGCGTTGGAAGGTTAAAAATAGAACAGCGCGTGCATTTAATACCTAATAAATAAATATCTCGTAATTGCTGTTGCCATCCACAAAAATCCAGATATTTATAGATGTTTCCAGTATATTCGAGAAATTAATTATAAAGCTTATAAAAGCCGAGAACAAACAACTCATCTCAGTAGTAGCTGTAGTTCTAGCGAACTGTTTGTTTACTTAATGCTGTGATTGATTTGTAGCGATTTCGCTGTGAGATAGAATTAGTTTCTCTGTTTTGAATTGATTTTTGCTAAACGTTTGACATTTTGTGATATTGTTAGAATATTTTTGAAGAAATATTTCAGCATTTTGATTTATCTCTTGTGGAAAGAATAAATTTTTGTTAACTTTTTAACGTTAACCGTGTTTATTCCAGCCCTTTGTATTCAGTATGTCTATATCAAAACCAAGTGGTAGTAAAATTAAACGAAAAATCGCTGACGAACATAGAATATTCCAAGTAAAATGGGAATTAGAATATTTTTGCTGTGAAATAAAAGATAAAATAATCTGCTTGATATGTAATAATACTATTAATGTACCAAAGTTATATAATATTAAACGTCATTACGAACAACACAAATCGAAATATAACAATTACGAAGGATTAATGAGAGAAGAAAAGTTGAAAGAGCTCAAGTTAGGAGTGAAAAAGCAACAGTCCATGTTTAGTAAAGTATTGCAAGAAAGTGAAGCGGCGGTACATGCAAGCTACGTCTTGTCCGAGTTGATAGCTAAACATTCGAAGCCTTTTACTGACGGTGATTTCATCAAGGAATGCCTAATGAAAGCTGGAGAAATTGTTTGTCCTGG